GCCCTGCTCATAACTGGCTAAAAACAGACTGGCTAAAGTCTTTATTCGAAACACAAAAAGAAGTAAAGCGTCTGTGAATATGTGTAACAGAAGCTTCGCTAGTGAGGTGCAGCTCTACGTCGCCCCGATTGCGCGGTCGACTCGTTGTTGTCACAGTGCTCCAGCACACACACCGCAGCCTGTGCTTATTCTATGGCCACGCCCACTACCTCCCGGCTCCGCACACGTGATACAATGCGTGGTGACATCATCGTGACTCAGCATTATTCCGCGCCTCGAACCTCCTACCGACCTGTCCAATTTTATCTAAACGTTGCGATGTCTCATTTAAGACAATAAATTTAAAAAAAAATTAAAAATAAAAACAGAATAGTACAAATGAAACACTCGAATCTTTAATGGATCACAGAAAGAATACGATACTACTCGCTGCCTTTATGTGGAAAACAGAGTAACTGTAAAATAACAGTATTGTAAATAAAAGTATGCTGAGTTCTTTTTAAAACGAGCCGAAGCGAAGGTTGACATTAAGTTAGCTTAACATTTCCCTAGAAGTCTAATAAATATTTTATTTTTATTGTTTATTTATTTTTACAAAAGAGTGTTGTGATTTTATTGTTATCATTTTGACCACAAAACAAGGATTTGTGGTCATCGTTTTAAATGGCATAATTTCAGTGGTTGGCTAGTCAAATTCACTTCCTTCAGCCTTTTTTCACCCTAAAGATTATAATTTTTTTTACTTATGGTCAGTTTTTAAGGTCAGTGTGACAAGGAAACTGCAAAGTTAGGAAAATCTTCCAGGCACCAGATTAAAAGCTGAAACAGTTTTTTCTACTTCCTTTTTTAAAGTCACCTTATAGAGCCACAGAACCATCATAGGTTGGTGTGTTCATCTACTGAAGTGTGGCTGCTTTAATCGAGGAGGTGACAGTGATGAAACTCAGAGAGTGTAGAGCTGCTATTAAAAGAAAAATAGATTGGATAATGTGAGGCCAACCTCGGAGGAAAATGGCTATTGTAAGTAAGAAATATTTGAAAAGTACTTTTTAGCTTTAATAAAAACAAAACCACAGTTTATAGTGCTGTGAAGTAGTTTAAAACATGTTTTATGTTTTTAAAGTTCTTAATTAGTGGTCGAAATCAATGGCATTTGATTATCAACTGCCAAGTCACCACTGAGGTGCTCTGAGCATGACACCGTCCCCACACACTGCTCCCCGGGCGCTTAAAGCTGCGCACTGTTCACTTTGGTGATGGGTTAAAGGTGGCAGAGGTTCAGTTTCGTTGTATCCCCGTGATACAATCACAATACAGACCATAAAATAAAATAAATAAAATAAAGTGTTGGTGCACTATTTTTTGTGTGTTCAGTGGCAGATTAACTGCTGCTTACAGCAATTCCTTTGTCCTTCACTGGTAGCTCTACAGGGAGCAGGGAGCTGCTGCATTGAAGTTCTCTTTTTCTAACACTCTTACATTGTTACACAAAAAGTGTTAAAGACGTCAAAACGGACACTTTAGGCTCATTAAACCCCAATAGATTAAAAAAAAAAAAAACTACTTAATTTGCTTTTCCCCAAACATTTGGATAGCCTCCTGGGCACTGCAAATGTTTGGTTTTACACTTAAACATCCAGTAGCAACGTCTGACATTTGCATTTCCTGAAGGAAGACAAATTCTGATTATGAGAACAAACAATCTCTTTAACTTAGCTGTGTGGTCACGAGGAGTGCTTAATGCTCTTGCCCAACAGCGAAGGGTTATTCCCAGAATTCAAACATCATTATGTTATTTAGCCAGTTACTAGTCTTATTATTATTTAAAGTCTAATTTATCAGAAAAATCTTTAAATGCCGTTTCATGACAGCAAAAAATTAGCTAACTGTGGTGTACTCTGGTCTTCAACACTCCTAAAACATATAGATAAAAGAGTTCTCATCTGATTTCTCAGTCTTAATTAAATAGGAACAGAAACAAAAAAGATACTTAAAATGCTCTGGTTAATACCTGATGTTTTGTGTCTGTTATCAACAATGTCCGGGTCACAGACTTTGGAGAGTTGGTGACTTGACTGTCACCCACATCATCAGAAGAATGACAGTGCAAAAATTCTCATAATCAGAATTTGCGTATAATAATGACACAGCATTCTGAACGACCAAAAGATCATGTGATTAACTTTAAGAATTTATCAACCACACCCTGTTAATGCGCTCTTGAACTGCCCTTTGATGCTACCTTCACCACCTGACACTTATTAACCAACAACTGTAGGCTGTAATGAAAACAGAGTTTTTGTGAATAAGTTTTTGTGAATTATTTTTATCTTTTAGCTATCAACCTAAATCTCACTGACGGAGCTCTGAACAAACAACAAATACAACATTCCTCGTTCAACATTCTTGAGACTTGTGATTGCGACAGTCAAGCATTTGGGTGTTATTAATATTTTAATATATATAATAATAATGTTGTGTAGAATTTAGCAACCAGTGGCAAAGTTGTTCATGTTCAAGTCCATATAACATAGTGTAACATTTATCTATTATTAAAGCATGAATGTAACACATAGGTTAGCCATTATAGCAGCTATCTTTCATCTTCAGGGCTAAATACTTTCAATCATGTAGTCATCAGACCAAGGACATTACCCTAGTCTACCACAGAGTCATATAAGGAGACAAAAATCCTTTCATACAAACAACCAATGGACTAGGGGAGGATGCTACCTTACCCAGGAAAAAGCAATTTGCACACAGAGACAGCATGCAAACTCTGTACAAAGTTATTTATCATCAAAAGCAAAATCAACCCTGTCACCTTGTGGCTATGATGGAAAAAAACTACTACTCAGGACAATAGATTTATAATTACTGCACATTGTAATTTTCTCATGATTCTTTCTTGTTAAATTTTATTTATTTATCAATTTAACCTACTCTTTTACAGTGGGTTTACCAGTCAAATGATACGTGTTGTCCGGGTGCGGCTTGGACAAAACACAGAGCTGCAGTACAGGTCACAAAATCACCTGCACTACAGGTGACACAGTCACCTGTAGTGCAGGAATGACACAGTCACCTGTAGTGCAGGTGTCAGAAGGTGATTGTGTTACTTGATTGTACGGTTCACATAGGAGTGCTTGAATTCCAGAGGACAATCACACATCACCTGTTTTCATGTTGTTTCAACAACAAAACAATCATTATCTGGATCCCTGTGTGTATTTCCTCTATAATTATTCTTTATTTATGCTATATGAAATTGAAAAAACACCATTGCTTAAGCATTTAATCACCGGGGTATCGTATATTCTACAACTACAACATTGCTTTAAATAACATTTCTACAGAATTGTTTGTTTGTTCTCACAGACCTTACCTACAGTACCTACCTAGCCCACTAGGGCACTGTAGGCCTACTTGGGATCAGACATATGTATTTTTATAACATAAAATGTAAAATGTGAGCTTCATATTCCCAACTATATAGGGCTAAACTAGTTATTTATTGGCATTAACATTCTAAACCAGAACAGCAAAATTCACAGGAATAAATAACAATGTCCACAGCGCAGAGCAGGTTTAACTTTGTATCTTTAATTCAAAATTTAACTTAATAACAAACAAAACACTGGAAACACATGAACATTCCTGTAATCACAGGAAAGCCCAGGCTGACCGCGTCAGATGGTTCATATTTCTATTTTTCTCTATATTTTACAAATAGTTTATTACGATCAAATACACATCCATCTAACCATCCTCTTCATTCCAACAGAATGTGGTTCCTTCTCACTGTTTGGTGTTTGCAGCGTTCACACACCACACAACACACGACACACTGAATACTGTGTGGAAAGTATACTGTGCTTGTGTAGACACGTGAACGTACTCCTGGGAGGTGTTGCCAACACAACTCCAGCTTTCTGACGCTCATCATTCTCTTCAAGTATCTGAGAATCACAGTAGCTGTAGTCATAATAATCTGGACTTTCGCAGCACCCAATGGTATCACTTTCATATTACTGGGTTAAAAAGAAGACATTTAAATCACAGAAAACTTTTACATTTTAAGTGAAGTGGGCAGGTGTGCACATTCCTAACTCTTGGCCCCTAAAGGAATTTTCTTAGTATTCTTAGTATGCACAGATCTTTTTATAGTAAATATTTTCTCACCATATTGATGTAAAATATCATGTAATGAAATGATCAAACCACAAATGTTGAAAATGTCATTTAGAGTTTACACTTACTCTCACCGTACGGCCCCTTAATTTTCTAAGTTACCTTTTTTTTTTTTAACTTTATAATAACATGTTCCCAAGTTTCTTTTATATTTCGCTCCTTCTCTTTGGCTCATATTAACAGAGATAATGACTAACCAATCTGACTTTCAAAGTTCCCATGAGAACCAAGTGATATCTTACAGACTAGCTGGAGACCTTTAGACATAAAAAACAATACACCAATTGTATGAATTCAACTCTTATATACTGACTGGTGCAGAAGAAACTGAACTGGCTCTGGACTCTCGTGTTTTCCGTGTGGGTATGGTAACGACACAGCATGAAATGCCTACTGTAGCTTCCGGCAATTCATCGTCTTCAGTCCATTCATTGAGGTCGGGGTTGAAAACCTGAATGCACTTCTTGTACTTCTTCTCACCCTCATTCCAGCCTCCCAGCAGATAGACCTTGTTGTTCGAAATGGAAACACCGGCTGTGCTGACTCCTGTGTTAAGTGGTGTGCAGTAGCTCCACTGCCCATTGTGAGGGTTGTAAGACTCAACAGCCAGGACATCCACCCTCTCTCCACGACCTCCCAGTTGACTACCACCCATAACGTAGGCCCGGTCTCCCACAGTGGCAGCACAGTGCCAGCCTCTGGGTGTGCTGAGGCTGCTCTTATCCTGCCAGGTGTCGGTGGAAGGGTCGTATGAGCACACGGCCCTGGAGTAGGCATTATTGATGTAACCGCCAGACACAAGGATCTTGCCGTCGATGACAGAGCTGGCATGGCAGCAGCGAGGAACCTCCATAGGAGCCTTCATCTGCCACTGGTTGGAGGAAGGCACGTAGCACTCTACAGATGCCTGAACGCCATCAGCGTTGCGCCCTCCGATGGCAAACAGGAGGCCATTGTAAGTGTTGAAGCTGAAGTGAGTGCGCCTCTGGATCATGTTGTTCAAGTGAATCCAGTTATTGAAGCGTGGATCATACCTAAAAATGAAAAAATAAAAAGTTATTTTTTAAATGCACCAAACTTACAACGACAACTGCTAATTTGACAACCAATCAGCTCTTGCCTGCAGAAGTTGCTAACAGCATGTTTAGCCTGGTTTCTTGCATCGTTCTGGTCCTCACCACCTGCCACATAGAGGAATCCATCCAGCACTGCCACACACTGATTAAAACTCTTTGCTGGCATTTCAGTCAGCTTATTCCACACATTATCTCCATCTCGGTAGAGGACGTCTTTACTGAGTGATTTCTCTGTCAAGGCAGGGCGTCCACCAACTGTGAGAATCACCTTCTGGCCACCACGCACCTTTGTTCTGCGTGACTGGAGAATGTTTTGTTGGTATGGCAGCAGATGGTAATTCATGGCATCAACAAGGAGACGGTGGCACTCGGAGTCTTGCATCATCCTGGGCACATTCTGGACATGGTTCACCAGGTCTTGAGCAGAGATGGTGCCAAAACGGATATGGGTTAGGAGATCTGCTGCATACTTCAGTCTCTTCTCGTCAAAGTCTAACCACTTCATGGCAATCTGGAAGGCTGTGATCTCGGATGGCAGTTGCAAAGAATCATCTGAGAGGAAATCGCTGATTTGCTCGTAGGTGAGCTTCAGGAACTGCTCCATCTCTGAGAACTCAATGAAGTTCTCCCTCATGAACTTTTGAGCGGCCTCTTTGGTTTCCTTGAGATTGTAAGCATCAGCAATATTGGCCACATACATGCAGTTCTCCACACTGAGCTCCTGCATGAGGAAATCACTGCACATCTTCACCAACGTGCCGATCTGCAGCAGCATGGCTGCAGCGATGGTGCTGCCTATGCTGTACAGAGACAGTGTCAGCTTTCCAGAATATGCATATGTGATGGCAGTGGCGAGGCCAACAGGTGAGAGGTCGTTCAGCTCAATCTTCTGAAGTGTTGAATCCTTCTTCAAAATGTTGCGGATGTACTCACTGCAGGAGGCCATGACAACTTTGTGGACGTCGAATGACTTTGACTTGGTGGCTACTGTGAGGTCGCACAGGAAACTCTCATGTCTCATGCTGCTCAAACCCTCCAGGAGATTAGGGGCATACACAGAATCAGTGACTTCAGTTGAAATGCAGCTGAAGCCATTGCCTCCTTCTAACAAAGTATTGAGCCCATTGATCTTGTTGGTGGGGCTGTCCTCAACCATGATGGTCATTTCATTTATGTCTCCTTTGCTCTTTTTGGTTGTCTTATTCTTTTTGGGAGCCATGGCAGCAGGAAACAGCCCAAACTTTCTGAAAAAAAAAAAATCAGTTGCATGAACTGCATAATAATGTTAGGATCATAAACAGAAATCAGTGATGTGTCACATGAGTTTAATAAACTTTGTGCCTAAGGTAGATTTTGTTTTTCTTTCATACATAGTGAGAAACAATTGGAGCTGTTGCCTCGCAACAAGCAAAGTCAGTGATGTCACAGCTGTGACCACAGCTTCTGTGGAAATGCCACGCGTGCACGGATTATTTCTCGGGTACATTTTCCAGTCAAAACACATGCAAATTGGGCATGAAGTTAATAAGAGACATTAAAGCTCCAGTATTCCGTAAACTGGTAATACTTGGCTGCGTTTGAATGAATGAATTAAACCAAAAGAATTAATTTTGGCTGTGCATCCTATTATAATAATAATGAATAACTACCATTATGATAATAACTAATCATTATTTTTTTAATTGGTTAAAATCCTATAACTATGTCATAATGTTGAATTTTAAGTAATTATTCAGTAAAATAATGTGTAAATCCATTTCGTAATTTATTGTTGTTCCTTAACAGACCTTGTTGTAGGTAAATTGCCATAATCTGAACAACACCGATACACTGTTGATATACCAAGTCTGGTGTAGGGTTATTGCGTCTTTCTACATTTGCGTTGTTAGTGAAAATGATTGCTGCAATCACAACGCTGACATCTGTGAAAACATGTTTGCTACCAGGTGAGGCTGGAGTGAGAGTAGAGAGCGTCAACATGCCGCTTTGCATCTGTCACAATTTATCAGCACTATGTCCAGGAATAGCAGCTCTGGACAGCTCTGCCATGACGTTCCTTTTATAGACTTTGAGACATGAGTAGTGAGGAGCAGGCCTCATGTTCTGCCACTGTTTCAGTGGAGGAAGGGGAAGGGAAGAGGATTTTGTCCTCTTTTTTATTAAAGTTTATTCAGTGTCTTAGGCTTATCTGGGAACAGTTGCATAATCTACCTCCATGAGATAAATCCTGTTAATTCTGATTAAAGCTGAACACTCATATGTTACTATGGATACAGTATGAGTAAACATTAGTTTTACTTCAGGCACAGAATTTGATGTTTTGGGTGCAAATTATACAAATGTATCAGCCTTGACATCAAATATGAACAGCAGATTACTGCAGTTAAAGGACAAAAAACTCCCACTTACTTGTGATATGAAGTTGAGGCTGGTGAAGAAGGAACTTGTGCCTCCAGTTCCTGGAGAAGCAGCAGCAGAGAGAGAGAGAGACCAGCAGTAACCCCCAACTGAAAGAGACAAGTAGAAAACTCCTCCTCTGGGGGAGCAAGTGCCAATCAAGGATTGTGCAATGCATGTGGCAGAGGGCAGGGACCATACACCCCACGCATATAGTGTCCCACAATAGTGTCCAATCAGCAGATGTCAACATTCTGCTGGGGGTCAGCCTCAATGGGCTGTCTCTGGAGCAAAAACTTGAGGTCAATTACTTGATTCAATATATAGACAGAGTAAGGTTACTTCATCACCCATACTTTTGATTATGGATTATGTTCAGACACTGAAAGTTTGAAAAATGAATCTCAACATTCTCTATGGTTGTTTTAATTTTTTTTATTTTATTGCATGTCCCCCTTCAAGGACCAGTATATTTTTAGTCCTGTTAAACTTCTTTCCCCAGTAATTATTATTAATATAATATTAATCACTTTTAGTTCAGCTGTACTCTCAGCTGGGTTTAAAATAAAAAAAAAAGAGTGAAGGTTTCAGGAAAAGATGCCAACAGATTTGCGCAGGCATTTTGGGTCACACATGGAGCTACTGTGCTAGCTAACAAGGGGCTACATTCTAGAGGAGACAATGGTAAATACGTTAAACATTTTTTTGTCTTGTTCAGTTTTTTTTTTTAATTTAAATCAACTTGTTAGTAGTGTCCTTTGGCTTACAAATGGAAATAAATGTTTAAGGAGGCCAAAAGCAAAAACATACAGAAGGAAGAATTATACACAATGAGAATGTACATCAGGCAAACATTAAAGGCATTTCAACATCCTCAACCAAACATCCTCAACATCAAGCCCGGAAGGCACTTGTGACACTATTTACATAAATTATATTTTATAGTCTTTCCTTTTTTTTGTCTGTTAGTCTCTCTTTCTATAGTCTCTTTGCTTTTTTCTTTCTTCTTCAGAAATATTTGCCACTGTTAGCCTCACCTCTATTCTTAAGGCAACTTTAAATTATTTTTCCCTTTGTTTTAGCTATGGCTACAGTAGCATTTAAGCATAGGAGTATATATAGGTCGAGATATAGAATTGTTTATTCTCATTTCACTGTATTTTTGCGCTACATCTAGTTTAGATTAACGAATATTTTCCGTTCTCAGTGATTAACGCAATGACGCCTGTCGTATGCCCCGCCTATTAAAATGGCGTCATCAAAGAGAGCGCGCCTCCAGGTGTGCGCGTGTGTTGCGCACGTGCGTCACCGCGATGGCCGGCACCTTTGATGATGTGGTGAAGAAAGTGACGCGGTTTAAAGTGCAGCTCGCAGACACGACAGAGTCTGACACGGTACACACACTTCTCTGCTTCTGTCACACACACAAACTCTTCACTGTAATGTCCGGTCGATTGGACTCTGTCCTGCCCGTGGTGTAATTGAGGCTGCGCAGACCAGAGCACACTCACAGCACTTCATCTCACAGCAGGGTTGTGTGTCTGTATGTGTGACTGGGGAGGGACCGTGAGGCTAAAATTGGCTGCTCCTGCAGTTGTTCCAACTTGTGGCTGCTGTCCATCATCCTCAGAGACTCTCTGTGGGAACCTCTCAGTTTGAAGGTGTGATAATTAAAATGGGCTCACTGTGTAGATGCTTAAAGTAAAAATAACAATTGGATTTTAATTCCACAACTTTTTTTTTTGTTCAACTCAAATGCATTTTTAACAATCACTAGAGTCAAACTCAAGTAAAGCAGGTGTCCATTTATAGTTGTCAGTAAAAGGAGCAGCCCATGTGTGGGTGTGTGTGGTTCCCATACATAGCTCCTGCTCTGAATGCACTATCAGCAACTGTGATCCAAAACCAGAAACACCATATTAGGGATGTCTATTCTGTTTTACTTCACATTTATAGAGTTTTCTTTTGGTCTGCGTACCTGCATTTGCATGCAAAGCACATCCAAAAACACAATGTTTCATAATAATTTTTACAAATGCTAACATCAGACAAGTCTGGCCTGTGGGTCAGCCCAGGGCCTGTTTCAATTGTAGTTGGTTAGGCCATTTTGTTTAATAGAGCTAATTTGTAATTGACTTTAAGCATTTTTTGTAGTTGTTAGTTAATGTTAAAGAGGCATAATTGCATTAAATTGATGGGATTATCAAATTTGGCCACACTTGAGAAAACCTGGACATCTTGGCTCATCTTGTAATGTATTTATTGCTTTTCCCCCAGGTTCTTAAAGTCTTGCAGAACCTTGGTGATCTGGATATCACAGTAGACATTCTTGCTGTAAGTCTGCATGCTACAAAATGATTTTTTTTTGTCTCTTGAAACATAATATCTTTAACCTACGACATTAACATTATGTCAATATACAGGAAACAGGAATAGGCAAAATAGTGAACTCTCTGCGCAGACACAAACGAGCTGGAGAATTTGCCAAGTCATTAGTCAGAGGTTGGAAAAAACTTCTCTCCAAAAATTGCATGAGGTAATCTTGATGTATTTTTTATTCTCCCCCCTCCCCCCCTCATATTCAACTAAAGTGACATGTAATATAGAATGTTTCTGCCTTTTGTATTGCTTTTTTCTCACCTTGATACAGCAACACTGGATATGGCGCCGTTTCACAAACTAAGGACAAAGAAGAGGAAAGCCCCAGTGAAAATGCTGAAGAGTTCACAGCTAATGACTTAAACAACAACTGTGTGACATATCAAAGCAAGAGTCAGGATTCTTCAGATGAAGCTGTCTCCAGTGTTAGGAAGAGAAAATCAGATTCAGTGAAACAAGGAGGTGAAGAACAAAACAGTAAAAAAAGGAGACAAGAAATGTTTCAACAAGAAAACCATAATATTCTTCAGGATGATGTCTCTGAAAAGAAAAAACAAAAGGATGGAATTGATGATTCAGTGGCTTTCAAAAAGAAGTATGATCCAAGGGATGGAAAATCTGTGGATTTTGGCAACACTTTACTAAAAAGCAAGAATTCAGGGGCGCAGCAGCACAGTGTCAGGTCTGATTTAAGAGAAAAAGTGAGAATCCATTCTGATGTGGTTGTTGAATCTGGACCAGAAGAGGGACTGCAAATGAAACACAAGTTATCAAAAAGGAGAAAAGAGACCTTTTTATTTGATCGCAATGACAGAAACTCAAAAACTCTAAAGACATCAAATGTCAGAGACAAGGAATGCCCAAAAAACTATAAGAGGAAAACAGTGCAGACAAAGAGTAAAGACGGACAGAAGGTTCCAAAACAAAAGTCTGACACGGAGGAACTTTCAGAGCACAAAAGTCAAAAGGCCAAAATGAAACATAAGAACAAAGAACATAAGGTGCCACAGGAAGAACCCTTCCAGTCTTTTGAGTCGTGTCTGAACTATGAAGTGAAAACACTGAAGAGAAAAGAACACTCTGGGAGAAAGTATTCAAAAAAGCTTGAGATGCTGTCAAACGTGGAAGCCACAAAGCAACAGGAAGTAAAACCTGCAAAATCTCCAGTGTTTTCTGTTAATGCCTGTCCTGTGACACAGGTAGTGCGTTGAAGCAATATTAGTTTAAATGATATTTTTTGTGAATAAAACTAACTAGGTACACATTTGTATTTTAGAAACCTATCATGGACCTGGCAAGTGTTTCTTTTCCCGTGGTTCCGCCTGCTTGTGAGAAGCCATACAGCTTTGATTGCTGTGATAGAAAAGGTATTTCATGCAGCGAGCCTAAACATGCACTTTAATGTGGTGTAGTTTTCAACTGAACTCTGCTCATTTGTGCTAAAGTTGAAAAAGAAGACCTCTGCGACCTCTCCGAAGAGTCTGCAGTCTTCACAGGTCAGAGACTCAACAGGAAGATGCAGGTCTACTCTGGGGCCAAGACTGTTTTTCTACCAACCATGTTGAGCTTGTACCAGCAGTGTGTCCGCAAACTTCAGAACAACATTGACTGTGAGTTTGCATTACCAGAAACCCTCTGATTCTGCTGTGTGGTCGGGTGCGTTTAATTTAAGTGTCGGGATTTCCTCCCAGTGCTTTATGAAACAGGTGGAGTCCCGTTTGAAATCCTGGAGCCAGTGTTGGAGCGGTGCACACCAGAACAGCTGCAACGCATTGAGGAATGCAACCCAGTAAGAATCTGACACATGGAACACATTCAGTGCACACAGTGACTCTGTAGCCACTTTATTAGGTTTACCTGTTGGCCTGTGCCTACTAAGGAGAGGAGGCCAAAAAAAAAAATCAGAAGTTCACTTTCCAGTATTGCTTCATTTCTTGGTATTTATCTGATTAGGACGTTATGACACTGAATATATACAAGCCTCGGCTTGTGGTCAGAAAATGTCATGGATTCCCTTTCAGAAAAATGTTTGACAATATAAAAAAATAGTCATATTTGGTCAGATCTTTTTCTTTTTTTTAATTATTTAAGTATTTGTATCACTTCATGGTCTTTCTGTTTGTTTGCGTGACAACTTCAACGTTTCTGAAATCCTATGGCCTGTTTAACAGATATACGTTGGAGTGACGGACCACATGTGGGGTAAACACTGTCAGAGGGACTTCAGAAACTCTGAACTTTTGGAGTACGAGTCGTGGAAAGAAATGTACATCAGGCTGTCGGAGGAAAGAGAGAGGAAACTCCAAAGGCTGACGAAAACTATTGTCTCAGCACATTCTAGGAAACCTAAAGGTGTGTGTGTCTATGTGTTGGAGAATGGAGCTCCCACAAATCAGTAGAAGTCTTAAGTTTCAGATATCCTTATGACATTGCTGGTATTCTCAAAAAAATGTCATAACTAAACACAATTATTGTCTGTATGTTTTTTTTTTTTTTTTTCCAAATTTAAGGTCGACAGGTGAAGATGGCATTTATTCATACTGTTGCAAAGCCACCAAGGGATGTGCGGGTGTGCGAATTCAGCAGAAAATTCACGGAACTGCTGTTCGACAGCCTCAACAACACAAATGCAGGTGGAAGTCACCATTTTAATACAGTGGATTTGTAAAAACCCTGTAGGAAACTCTTGGTATTCTTATGTTGATGAAACATACCACGTGATTATTCCTGCACAGCCAAGTGGTCACCAAACAATCGACTTCTCACACACTTGTGTTTCTCAGGGGTGAAATGCCTCATTGTTTGACTAGAATTGTTTGGCTCCATTTTCAATATCCCCTGGTCAAACTCAGACATTCATGCTCTCTCACCCTTTGCTAAAGTCTGTTTTATATGGGGACCTATTTTAAAATGAATTAGTTTAAATCTGCTGTTCAAATGGTTAACTGTTGCTGTTGTGCTCTTTACAGCGTGAGGGCAGAGAAGAGCGGACTGCAGCCAAGATGTAATGACTCCAGCAGGTTCAGCAACTCCAATGCAGCTGGAAGCAGCTCACAAGACCCTCGCAAAAAAACAAGTAAGCTGACAACATTTTCTAGAAGCCAGCTTACCACATTTGACATGAAAGTTCATGACGAGTTCTGTTAGGCAACTGGACATGAAATGTTCTCATGTCACGGGCAGACACCATGCCCACCACCAACAGAGGCAAGATAAGGGAACAGGGACACAATAGGACAGACCTCCATGCCTGTGGCTATCAGATGAGCCTTCTTAAAAACCAACAAAAAGAGGCCCACAGAGAGGGAGGACAACAGGAGGAGGAACGTTGTCATTCTGTGCATTGCAGGGGTTTTGGAAAAACTTAGGAGGATCTTTAACTGGCACTAGATCCCTGTACACATTAAACCCGGTAACACCATGATACAAAAAATGGTTCATCCCAAAGAAAAGACACCAAGAAACAATCTGGACAATGTGGTTTAACGTTGTCATTCTGTGCATTGCAGGGGTTTTGGAAAAACTTAGGAGGATCTTTAACTGGCACTAGATCCCTGTACACATTAAACCCGGTAACACCATGATACAAAAAATGGTTCATCCCAAAGAAAAGACACCAAGAAACAATCTGGACAATGTGGTTTATGCCATTGCCACACACACAGTATATATTTGCTGTACTCCCCACCACCAGTTAGAACGGAAGAAGCCTCTTGGATAAGAGGCGAAACATCTTCTTTGAGAAAATTTCACATCCAGTTGCCTAACAGCACTCTTCAACCTTGACCATGACCTAGATGACTGAGAATCTTAATAGACATTTGACATGAAGTGACACTCTGGGCTTTTTTAATTAAATTGTTTATGTTTTTCCTGCAGAAGTGGCTCCAATGATGGCAAAATCCTTGAAGGCATTTAAGAAACAGATGGGACGTAAATAAACTCTTAGATTTTTTTTTTTTTTTTTTACAGCTGAAGCATGTGAGATAAAATGCTCTCTATCATTGATTAACCATAAAAACAACATGCCTTTGTTCAGTGTGTAGGATATTATGTATTATGACTTCCTAAACAGTCGCCATGTTTTTTTTTTCCTCAACAACAAAAATGTATTTTCTATTAAAAGGACAATGAAATTAGCAAATCTACTTAAATGTTCACGAACGTTTTTGTCCTTATAACTGCTGTGTCTTTATAGAAATGTGTCTGGCACTTTCTTAATGGACTGATGCTCCCTCTAGAGGGCATCTAAAGCATTTCAAGTTTTTATTTTATTTTAAACATTACACGAAGAATAATAAACATGACTTGCTTATTGATTAGCGCCTTATTTTGTAATGTCTATCTGTTGTACAAATGAACGTTAATGTGTGAAACTTGGAATTACGAATTAAATTAAGATGATATTTTGTGATAAATAACAGTGGTAGGAAGAAAAACATGTTGACGTGTTGAAGCTTTTGCAGTACATCAGAAAAATAAAGTTGGTAGGCTTGTGAATCAATATAGGCTTGGAAAACGCCTTTAATGTCAGCGTTTCAACTGTGTAAAAATCTTGGTGTAAATGGGCAATGATACCACAAGAGGTCAGACGGTTGCGTTGACTCTAACATTTATAGAAAACGGGAGTTGTAAAATAAGGTCAACGAAGTTACTCCCTTCTCCACCTGGGAGAAAACGTGTTTTCACTGCAGCTGTTTGCAGTTAATTACGAAATTACAAGTGTTAAAAATGAATTTGTTGTTTTACTTAGTACTGACCTGAGTTTTGTTTCTCTTACGAAGTGTACCGGTAGTTTGGAAAATAAAATATTTGATCTGATGATCCAGTATTTGCTTTGTGTGAGTGTACAAGACTGTGAATTCTGTAAGAAGTAGACACACTTGTATAAGTGTTGAGACAACCACTCACTGTGTCTTTATTAGGACACCATTTCCTTTAGGACTATATGTGTGATTAATTTCACACTGTGCAATAATAGATGTTAGTACTGTAAGTTCTACATTTTTTTATTTACTTAAAAGATAATCCAGATGTAGAATTTAATTCAATACAATGTCAATTTAATAAGGACATAGTGGGATATTAAGACCCACAGTTTTAAAGATTTTTAAAACAATGGAAATGACACCAGGATCAGCCTTATAAAATATATGTATTTTAAAGTGGAACAATTTTACCATCCATATTTTTTAAGTCATTACATAGACCAATAGAGCTATTTGTATTTTGTCCTCAACTGTACATAATGGAGCAAAAGTATGTTTTCCTATACAATTGTTTTCGTAACCCACCTTCATCGTTACAATTATATTTCAAATTGGTGTATTGATGAATTTCATTTTAAAATATTACAATTTAAAAGATTTTCTGGCTGTTGTTGGCTGGCGGGGGGCTGTGGTGTGGGAGGGGGACACACTTCCGGGCTACCACCAGAGTTATGTATTGCGCCGCTGCGCCCCTGCGCGAAACGGCTCTATCCAGAGGAAGGACCGGAGGGAGGAGCGGCCTGGAACGGTGACGTAGGATTGGAATGAGGGAGTGAATGTTCCGGGTCAGAAACTGGACGGGAGAGGAAATTAACTCCGGGACGTGACGGAAAAGAGCGAGAATGCTGCTCTCCTGTACTCTGAGATGGAGCTTGTGCTTTTTACGCTGAAAGTGGTGTCATTTTAAGAGGCGGCGGGAGCGAGAAAGAACCGACGAACTTTGAAAAAATAAAAACAGGTGTCTGGAGGAAAAGTAAGCAAAGTGAGACAACGACGGAGAGAAACCCCGATGTTCGTCGCGACCCTAACGTGAGCAGACATTATTTACAGTTTCACTCTTCGACTTTTTGTCGCCAGTGAGTGACGAGTGCTCTGAGTTTGACGGTGAATTAAAGCCAGCTGTGTCCCACCGTCGTTGCAATCTGTTGCATCCCCCTTTCCTCTTCCTCCTCCCCGCTGTGTGCTTGTTTGTCGCACGGGTACGAGACTTGCTGCCAGCGCCTCCCCGTCATGTTTCACTGTATACCCCTGTGGCGGTGCAACCGTCATGTGGAGATGATCGATAAACGCCACTGCTCTCTGCTCTATGTGCCCGATGAGATATACCGCTACGGGAGGAGTTTGGAGGAGCTATTGCTGGATGCCAACCAACTACGAGACTTACCCAAGGTAAGCAAGCATTAACCAGCTTCGCCTCTGAGGCTCACAGACAGAAAAGGTATTTCAGCTTATTTTGGGGCAACATGTAACGGGGTCTCTGCGGTGAAATCTGCTCACCGAGCTGATCTGGCAACCCGTGGTAGTCCAATGGGACCTTGGGAATAATAATTATGCAAGGTCTGCAAGGAAGCCACACAGTGGAGGTGGGAAAAAAATCCCAACAACCGCACCTCCCACTGCAGGTGACTGTCCAAACGTGTTTTACTGTTTGCCCGCAAAACATTTTTATTCCCAGGTGTCAAAGAAAGCACCCTGATATTGTGACTGATAATGTCAAAGCTGTTTGGGCAGCAGATACCGTACTCATGTCTGAGCATGAGTTTACTAATACAAATATAAATACACCATAGAAGCAGAAGAAGAAAAAGTTATTTGGCATACATATGCAGTGAAGCCCTTTCTGAAGGGCTTCACTGCAATATAAATTTCGTGGATTTATACCAAGGACCTTCCAGTGGTCTACATCCCCAAGGCTTTTGCAACGTAGACTAAAATATTAACACAAAGTAAATCTACTTAGCCATTTTAAATATTTTATAGCATACTATGACACATTAATTGTAATAACACTGTCCTTCATTCTCATAAGTTTTTATCATTTTACCTTTTTTATTAGCCAAGTGATCATAATTCAATTAGTAGCCAATGTAGGAAACTGACCCAGAAGGTGGCAGTAATGCAATTTAAAGGAAACAGAGCTGCTGGTACAACCAATTATAACTGACAATAAGTCTGGAGAGCAGTATTGCTAACGAGATCCTAACGTGAAAACCATTTGTTCATTTTTTAGAATATATCAAAAACAGAACAACAAGCAGAAAAATAACACACCAAATTATTATATCATGTGATATATTTACGTAATACAAATACCTTGTAGAAAACATTTCACCAAAGTACTTTTAATTTTTGATATTTGATATGTCTAACACTAACACTGCAGATGGAAACCTATACATTATAAAATCGTCATATTTTTTATTGACCTTCAGAATCCTGTCAACCTAACATATTTAGCAACTTTTTTCTTTTCGATAACTCATATGGATCATCATTAACATATTCACCTAGAATCAAGTAAAAAAAACAAACAAATGCTTGCGCCTAAATGTTTAAAAAAAAAAAAATGAAACATCCGGAATGACAGACAGTATCTCCTGACAAACACAAACACATTGTGACTCAGAGTATGTTTGAAGTGTTCCACCACAGTGGCCTTGTTTCAGTTAAACGGAAACAAAGTGGCAGGGTTTGGTGGAGCTGCAGGAGCCTGGCCCTAACACTTGTGACTCTAGTGGTCTGGATTAAGTGGAATACCAGTTGGTGGATTTGCATGTTTGAATGAGGTTCTCTCAGAATGTTTTTGTGTCCCTGGGCTTGGAGCCTAAAATCCAGATCTGTTGTCTTCTCATAGGACACAGACGGCTACAGTGAAAGAAAGAGTAATTTGTTTTGTGGTTTCATGACATTTAAACATTTGCCGTCAAAATAGTTTGACTTGTACACACTCCCTCTGCTCTGCTTTGGGGAGTATTTTAAGCTTGAGGTGATTGTGTTAGGTACTGTTACAGTAACCTTCAAAGAAGACGGCATCCGTTCACTAACATACTGCGTTTACAGCTGTTCCTGACAAGTGGATGGACTTAGAGCCTTGAAAAACTATCTTGAGCTCTTTTCACTGAAGTCATGTTGGGTCAGATGCAAAGCCGATGGGATTGTAGGGACTATTTGAGGGTCTGCTCTCTGTCTTTGGTTGTTTTTATTTGAATGGAACACACAGTGATGCTAATAGGGGAAGGAAAATACCGCAGACAAAACATTTACAGCTCGGCGTGCCCATAGAAGTATGACTGGACATAGATAGTGGGAGCAGCCTCCCACTGGTTGTGTCACACCGCTGACTTTGTCTGGTGAAGAAAGGACAGGAACAGGTATTCTGACTGCAGACAAAGACAGTATTATGTTTTGTTGTTGCCTCTGTCATGCAAGTCTTTTTTCAAGTTTTTTGAAATCATGACTTCACTTGTCAGTCTCGCACCAGTACTAGCATTTAACATGTCCACGGTCTAAGTCTGGAAAGGCTGTGATTGAGAGATGTACCGTCGTTGTTACCGTAGCAGTTTCACAATCCAACATTTCTAGACTGGTCCGAAATATTCCAAGCATGTTTGGAGGATAGATGGTTGAACCTTTTGCAAGTGTTGACAGAAAGTGTTTATTGTGTTCTCTGGCATGTCAATAATGTCATCAGCGCTGCTGAGTGAACCCAAGAATTGTTCAGTTGGACAAATTGTTGTATCAGTTCACTCCACTGTGTGGCCTGAGCTCACAACTGCCTTGAAGATAGCAACATGAGGATTGCTGACTTTTACTTCATACTATACTTGGCCCGTAGTTCCTTATCTTTGATAGAAGATCTTTCATTTCTCCGAATTGTTTAATAGCTATAGAAAAATATATTTATTTTTAAAATACAAATGACGTGTAGAGTATAGGAATTGTGACACATCAACAGTGTTAACTGATGTTTTTGCAACTGCCAGTTTCTTTCTGTTCCAAGTGATAATGCGCAGACAAAACACATCTAGAAAAGAAACATGACACTACCTGTGATGTGTGAGCAGTCAGCAAGCTCACTGATAAGACCTGCTGGAGTGGGCTTGCTGATGAGGCCGTGGAAAGAAAGCAGTGTAGCTTGAGAACACAAAAGTCAAAACAGATGTCTCAAGGTAGGCTCTCCTTAGCATCATTACTTTCCTCCGGAAAACAAACTACAGGAGTAGAGAGCCTAGAGGAGAGAGCGTCTCTGCCGACAGTCTACAACAGAAATGCGACCTCTACATTTTTGCATTTTCAGTTATATAGTTCTGCTAATAAACCTGTTAATGTGTGAGTGATTTAAACCAATCCTGATCCAGGTGTCAGTGGATCCAAACACATTTGCATAAAAAAACCCATAAAAATAAACCTGCCACATCAGACACAACAGCAGAAAAGGAGTTACATTGACCCTTTACGTAAAGTGAAAATCAACATCAACAGTGGAGCAGGGAATCATACAGATCTCAGTGAAAAATATTTTGCCATCTCAGATTCAGCTGCAGATTGGAACCATACAGACTTTTGGCATGCAATGAAGCAACAGTGGTGACTAATGAGGCTGCAAAAAACCTGTCAAACTTTATCACTGCGACGAATCAGCAAGAACCCACTAAAGAACTGTGGAAAACCATTGATTGTGTTCTTTTGGGGGTTGGGGTCATTTGACCCCTTTCTCCAACCAAACCATTGGCACTGACACTCAGTTCACGATAAAAACTTGCACAAAGCAGTTGTAACGACCAAGGGAAACAAACGACTAAGGCGTGTGTTTTAACGGTGACAAGATGAGGCAAGTCAAACTCCGCTAGGTAGTTGAAAGTTTTCGACAATTTCTTTACATACATGTGTGTGTATATATATATATATGTATATATATATATATATATACACATTAATGATTGTAAAATTGTATTGTTAAAGTTTTTTTTTTTTACTCTCCCATATTCGTGGGACCTGCAACCGACTTTTTGGTCACAATCCAATATTTGCCTACTTTCGGGTTTGACTCTGTTGATTGTACATCTCCTTTATTAATGAATTGGATATTGAATGGAGGGTGGTGAAATGATAGAAAGTAGAATCACGAATACATGCATATAACACAAATCCTTCTTATGTTGTTGTAGTTTTGAAGAGCCCCTGCTGTAGAGCACTTATCTTTTCACATACTTCTTGAAGTCATCCTGAGTGCTAAGGGTGAAACTGAAAATTCAGACATTGACCTGGGAGTTCAGGCAATGGCTGATGTATTCTTGAATCAGCCTGTTTTGGTTTTTGTGTGTCACACATGGCTGAGTGTCGGGGCGTGTTGCTGAACGACACCAACTGGAAGAACAAGTTAATTCTCTCTCTCTCTCTCTCTCTCTCTCTCTCTCTCTCTCTCTCAAAGACTCTGTTTGCGCTGCTTCAGTATTAGGACACCTGGCCACGTCTGAAAGCAGTAAACACATCAGTGAAATAAACCCTCAAAATAAACTGCACTCTTTACTAGATCTGTCAAACATTAGGTTAGGTATTTTGTGTTTTTTGGATATGAACAAGCCCACATGAGCCAGGTCTGTGTTGACGATATCATCAAACAAAGAGAATCCTGTGAGATGTTGACCATCGGCAGTGACTCCACATTAGAGGACGACGGAAGAACCAGTTCTTCATGGTGATGAAACACCTGGAACAAAGCCCATTGTATTTTATTTATTTTATTGTAATGAAAGAACATGCTCACTTATTTCAGTTCTACTTTGAAACTCCTTGTCAGCCATCCATTGTCCTACTGCACAGGAAAAGCAAACAAAGTTCACATAAAGGTGAAGAAAAGAAATAAATGGCCTTAACCTTTGGACATGGTCGAGTCTTTGACCTGTGGGTGAACGCTGATTGTGTCCTTTCCCACTTAAGACAAAAAGCTGATGTTGTTGTTTTCTGGGTCTGGTTGGAAATAAATGTGTGACAGACAGCTGATGACAGCAACCATTGCATATGGAACTGAACTGTCAAGGAAAAGTATTCTTCTCCTTGTCCTGCAGGGGGTGCTATGGTTGAGTTTAAAGCTGCAGGTTCTGGTTCTGGAAGGTTCTGGAGCCTAGTGATTGTTCAATTATAATAATGGGAACTGATAGGCCCGAAAACTTAACCAGGGCTTTATGGCCAAGGTGGAATGGAACCCACAACCACTTTAGCCCCTAAATATGTACATAAATTATGTAGAGAAGCTTGAGAAACAAAGATGAAAGATTTCCTGTTTTTGGCTAAGCTGCCAAAGAACATAAAACCAAGAGTGTTTTTTAAGTTCTTTTGTCCGTGTATCATTTGTCCTTATGTTTATTATTATTTTTTAAATCAGATTTTGAAAATAACAAAAAACGCTATTGTATTACAGTAACAATGTGCGTAGGATGAAGTTTTTGTTCCCAAAGAGAACATTGATCATGGTCTTGGTTGTGTTTTTGTTTTTTCAGGATCACATTAAGGTGTGGACAACAGTTGATAGTCTGAGAATTCATTTCTATGACTCAGTTACTCACTGTTTGATTTGTTTTTTTGTGAAATGTGAAAGTGGAGTTAATGTGGTTAAGATGCAGCGGCTCAGGCACTTACTGGTAAGAAGACTAGTTTGTTTACCAGGTGAAATGGTGGCTTAGGGTTTGTTTGAGCTGCTTTAAGTCTCTGGAATGACATGTTCATTTTGCAACAGGGTGGAGTTTGACTTTTGGACTCTTGTGCTTTATTTATTGTGCACACAATATTAAAAAAGTGATCTCTATAAGGATTGTTGATACCGATAATAAGCCATCTGATTACAACTAGTTAAAAAAATAGCAAACATGATAAACTTTGGACAAAAACATTTGTTAAAGTCACCTGAAAGGATTTAACTTTGGATTTCATCATGCAAATAATCTAATTTCCGTCTCTCGATTAACACCCACATATGAAAGCACTGCACCCTGCACTCTGTGAGCTGTGGAAAAATTGTATTTATTCATTAATATCCAACTGACTGAATGGTTTGTTTTCCACAAGTGTAGAAATGACAAGGGTAGGTTGTGTTATTGCTGAGACGCAGCCTTGTTGGTTAGTTATCAGTTTGAAAGCCACACCGCCACGGCCCTGTCTGCTCTTGTTGTGTGCGTCAAGTATGTACCTGTATAACTGATTTTTTAATTTTTTTGTTTGAGAATTCTGCCAACTGCGTCTTTTGTTCACAACACTGTTTGTGTTTGTCCTCTTCGTTTCTCAGACGGTGTTTTATCCAATCCAACGAGCCCATGTGGGTGTCTGTTTATTTTTAAATGTTGCCACGCTTTAAAAAGTTAACCGGAGATGAACAAACTACTGACAGTTCTTTATCTCTAGAGAAAGGTTCGGCATTTTTAAAAAAAAAAAAAAAATTTTAATACAAATAATTAAAAAAAAAAATTTCAAAACTGGGTGTAAACTGCGTGTAAAAAAAAAAAAAAAAGTTGAGATGTTGCTATGACCAGACCTTGGACAACAGTTCTGACTTTTCAACAGTTTGGTTTCACATTCTGCTCAATATAATGTGGGATCTCAGCAGTCATTGATCAACATTCCATAAAAATACAAATATAGCAGAATAATAATAATTTGAGAAGTAAATTCGTTTGAGGTGATAAATGATATATCTTTTCACTGATTGCACTTCTTTTTCCCCACATCAATTTTAGCCATTTTTCCAGCTGGTGAAACTAAGAAAACTTGGCCTGAGTGACAATGAGATCCAGAGGCTTCCACCAGAAATAGCCAACTTCATGCAGCTGGTGGAACTGGACGTGTCTCGAAATGGTAAGGGTTTAACTCTGATGTATTTTTTATGTGTGAGAGAATATGGTCTTACAGTTGAGCAAGATGATGATAAATTCAGCAAATAAACAACACTGACAGATTTATTCACTACTGAAACGTGATATGTTCCTGGTTTGCATTAGTCTGACTCACTCTAACTGGTTACATCAAGTCAATCAACTGCATATGTTTTCCACAGTAATGGATTTGATTTTGTTTTTCTTTATCAAATAAAAAAAATTAGATAAAATAAAAAAGTAGGGCATATCTTGTTTGTTTTGTTGTTTGATACATGTACGTGTGAATACTTGTGTTGAGCTTGTGTCAAAATATTTTAATATTTTTTATTTGCATTTTTATTGTTTTCCAGATATAATGGAAATTCCAGAGAGCATTTCATACTGCAAAGCGCTCCAAGTGGCAGACTTCAGTGGAAATCCACTAACAAGGTTATTGATGATGGTCTTGTTTTATGTATCTGCTGGGGTTTTATTGTTAGATTGCAGAACCAGGTGTGTTTCCGGTTTATTGTATCTAACTTTCTTTGGCCATCTAGGCTGTTGTGTCCTCAGGAGCACAGACTTGGTTAAGATGAAATAGTGTAGATAAGACTTCTGGAAGCATACAACTTAAAATTATCGGGTTTGAATATTATTATGGCACATATGGAACATTTTGTTTTGATTACAGTATTGGATTGCTGTTTTTACTCCATGTATACAAGTTTACTTTTGTTGTGCAGGACTCTTTCTGACAAATTTTTGATTTAATCATGTGTGTTAGACTAAAGCTAATTTACACCCCGCGATGGGATAAACACATTGCTAGTTCAGATCGCAGCAGTGATCAGAGCAGATAAGCCTCGGTGATCAATGCTTATTAAGTGCACATCTCTCTCTCTATGTCAGTCTGTCTCTGCTAATGTTTCTGTCTCTCTCGTACTCTCTCTAACTCAATTACAAACCTAAATGTTTTTGCCACAGTTTCATCATAATGGTAAATTAGCAGAAACTTAGTTTTTCTTGAACACTTATTAGAAGTATGATCTAGTGAGACCTTTTAAATAAACATTTGAGGTGAGGTATGACGTTACATTGTCCTCAAATGTTTAAAAATTCTTCATGTTTATATGGAGAAATATTCTGTATATGGATTTTTTTTTTTACAGCTGTTGATAGTTGTTTTAATATTAATTTGACATTCCAACTGACACTGACACTATGTCTTTATGTATATCAGTGATACCCAAATTGGGGGTTGGGTCCCCTTTGTGGGGCAATGAGTCATTGCAGCAGGCAATAAAGTTGTGTCAGTAGGGAAATTCCACTGATTTGTCAAGTTTTTTTCTTTTGTCAATTGAGAAAAGTAGTTTTGAAGGAATGTTGGTGTTTTGAATAGAGTTCAGAGATTTGGTGAAGCCTAAGCTGTGACTCTGTCAATATGGAAGGGCTCCTCAGTAGTGCTATTTTAAGTTTTAGGGACCACTGCTTTGAAAGCTTGTAAAAAGCGTTGAAATATGTCTTCCACTCCGAAGGAGATAAACAGATCACAAAGCATCTTTTTTGTGTCTGAGATGGATCAAAGCGGGACCACAACTATTATCTAAGTATTTCCATCTGGCCACTCTGTGGTACTGTGGAGCAAAACGAAAGCATCGAAGAACTTGTCAAAACATTGTTTTGTCTAGAACAAGCAGACAGTGTGTTGAAGTGTGTGCATATATATATATATATATATATATATATAGTAGAGTTGGCACCAGCTTTTTGGACTTGTATTGGCTTCACTTGAAGTACTAGCTATTTAACTGCAGTTTTCCATGGTGCCAATGCGCTGTGTTGTTAACCTCAATTTGACTCTGGAAAATTGTGTGTTTCTGTTCCAGCACTTCTTATCTTTACTGCAGACATACTGCCACAAGGTTATCTGGCTAGAGGACTCTTACATTCTCTTTTTAAAGAACCCATAGCTTCTGTAGCGTAAATGTGTAAAAAAGTGTTAGTTGACTGGTATAAATCAGATAACTTTCATTAAGTGTTCTGCAGGACACTCACACCCTCTGTTGTTTTTTTTTACAGGTTACCAGAAAGCTTTCCAGAGCTGCGGAATCTAACGTGTCTTTCCATCAATGACATTTCACTGCAGGTTCTTCCAGACAACATTGGAAAGTAAGTTCATACAGAGTTTTATCGCGTATTTCATCATTAGCAATAGTAAAATATCTGGACATGGCATAGGGAGCAAAAATAGACATATTTCAGCTACATCAATAGACAAATTAATTTGATCAAATTTAATAATGTTGATTTATCGCAATTAATCATGATTCATTGTGATTAACCCATTGCTACCCTGCGATTAATCAGATTCAAGATTTGAATCATTTTGTAGCCTCATGAAAAGTAAATTAGACAATTAAAATTAGTTACAATTAATGCATCAATAAGGGCATGTATGATCTGAGTGTCCTGCAGTTTGAACATTTGGTTCAGTAGCCAGCCATGCCTGTGAAAATGAAATGATTATAATACCAACGGCAGTCACTTAGCAAGACAAACTGCTTGTGTGTCTGTTACATTCTCTTAATTAAAATATTCTCGTCTACATGGATGAGGAACCAGATGGACCAGGTTCCTCTCTACAGACTCAGCTGTCAGTGTCTGACCTTTGTTTGCGTTGTCTGTTCTTTTTTGTTTTGCTATGTTTTGTTTTTCTGCTCAGCCATTATAGTATTTAATAACAGAAGTATGCACCTTAAATCCAAATTTCCTGGGGGGAGGCTTTTTAGAGAGAGGAACTTTAGAGTCTAAGAAAAGTTGCGGTGCTGGTAGAACTGAAAGTCAGAAATACGTCAGTGTGAAAAATAAAAACGATGGGGCCGTCATCAAAACATTTTTTTTTTTTTTAGCAGAGGTGTTTGATGGTACCGTGCCTCCCCTCCCCCTGTTACATCACAGATCCTCCCACTAATGTCTTCCTGCGTGTTCCAGTGATTATGGTCATAATACGAGCCACATATTTTCAACATTAGATAAGTGCTGAAATGGTTGGAGCTAAACTAAACAGAGATTTGTCTCAGCTTGCTCTTGTAATGCCATAAATGAGGAATTATTGCCTCACCTCTTAGAGATAGCTCCAGCTCAGTGGTGATGTGATGGCTTCACTCTGTGATTCAGGAAAAAACACTTCCAGACTTCTAATACATATATAAAACAACACAGTCACCCTGTAGTAGCCATTATTTCATCCATCCATCTATCCATCTATCCATCCATTCTTTTGTCCATGCAACTTGTATGCATAGAAACCAGTGGGACACACAAACCCTAATCCTGCCTAATCCTAATCCTTACCCTAAATCTAATCAGAATCTTAATATCATCTGAACTACAAACTAACATCAAAATTCCCTAACGTTCTCTTTCATAATGTCTTTATAAGGAAATGGTGTCACCACAGCAATTGAAAACTACTACAAATAATCAACTACTAATATAGCTGTCCTAAGAACATACACACACACAGCTTTTTAAACAACAGCTTTTTGTACACGTCAGTCGTCAACAACAATAAAACAAAAACATTTAGTTGAGAAATGCAATTTTATATTACTTCATACTTTGTAGTAATATTACTCCATCCTGAGCAGTAAGTGTCCATGTGAAGGATCAACCTTATTTTGAAACTGCTCTATGCATGTGACGGCCTCACATTTTTTGAATGCCACGTACCTCCTGTCAACTAAGTCACTGAAAGTTCAAGTGATATTCTCACTTCCCTCCACCTCCCCCACCGCCCCCCGTCCCCTCCCCAACCATCTCTTATCTCCAGTACCTCACAGTAAGCCGTGACCTAAAGGCCTGCACTTTATCAAATGAATAAGGTAATGAAACTCATATGGCAGTTAAAGCAGCATGTTGTCTCTTTTTGGGGGACGTGGATGAGATGGATGAGGTTGAAAAATGTAATTTATCTCCTGATATGGAGTCAAGTAAGTGACCCTCAGAGAAACCTGAGACACCTAATGCCTCGAGGTGGTTGTTTACATCTTTAGGCTGATTACTTGTGCCCGATTTGGGCCAGACTAGATCCAGGAAGTTATCGTCTGCCCTTCACTCTGTGGTTGTTTGTGAAGGAAGAACACTGGAATGGGGCATTACACAGTAATTGAGATCAACATTAGCAGACGGCTCATTGTTTACAAAAAAAGACTCTCACAAAACGCTTTCAAAATGTGTTCAGTATTTTGTGTTTACAGATCAGGAAAACGCGGATGCATCAATATTTGCTCTAATCCCTCAGGACAGTTGAACAATTGCTTCGCTCAAAGAGGTTTTGTCTTTGCTCAAATTAATCCATCTGCGAGCAGAAAAACAACAGATTGTGATGACATTTTCTGGACACATTCTGCAGGTTTGACTGAATGGTGGATGAGCTGAAAAAAAAAAACGACGAATGGAGATCTGACTAACAGAATGGACTTTGTGTTGCACGTCTTGGTTGTTGTTGTAAAAATCATCCGATAACTGTTTGCACAGAACACTGTACTTTTCTGAACTTTGGTCGGTGATAAACATTAAGGACATTATGCTCTCCCTTTAAGCCGTGAAACACTTGTTTATTCTGCTGAACTTTTAGGGTTGTGATAAGCAGGACACACCTCTAAAGTACTTCCTGTTCTCAGATATCTGATGGGAATAGGACACTGCAGGGACATTTTTAGCTTTCAATAAACCCATTAGTTTCAGTGACTGTCAGCAGCGTTCTGTTTCATGTATGCTACAACATGTTTCCATCCTGAAGAGACAGGGGTTTCACTGGTTTCTTTTACTGATAGACAAAAAAAAACTTAAGTGGAGGGCCCTCTGCTGGGCACATTTTATTTATATGCTTTAACCAGAATTGTGAATCAAATTCACAGGTATGTGTTTTTGTTGTTTCTTCAGGAGGTTTTTTTAAATAATCCTGTTTTTTTGTCTTTTATCACAGCCTTTCTAATTTGGTCTCCCTAGAACTCAGAGAGAATGTGCTTACATTCCTACCAGAGTGAGTGTAAAGTCAAATCATTTTTGGTTCCTGTTTACTGTGCTCCATTTAATCACCTTCTTTTTCATCACATATAGATCACTATCTCAGCTCCATAGACTTGAAGAACTTGACCTTGGCAATAATGAACTCTACAGTCTGGTAGGTTTTGGGTTTTCTATTGTAGTCTTAATTTTTTTTTTCTTTTTATGACACGCATTTTCTCACAAAGTGAGCAAAACATTTATCCCCCCCTCCTCCCCCTTACGTTAATGCCAGTCTAAATAGATTAGTATCCGTCAAGAACAGCTTTTACCTTTTGTCACGCAGTTGGGAGGGAGACCATCTGCTCTGCCTCCTGGTTTAAGTTGTAATCTTACCTGAGCCGTCTCACTCTGACAGTGAATGATTTACTCACAGGTCATGACAAGGGTGACTGCAAAAGAAGTGGCTTAAATACATTTTCTATTTTAATTAGTCAATTTTTTCTGTGTCTGTTGGAAAAAAGTAATATATGAGATGACTTTTAACTGTTTAACGGTGGATTTTGATAATATTGACTATATGGAAATAGTTGTATTCCATAAAAGGACACAGTGGCTTTGCAAAACAGTTGTGTTAAAGAGAAGAAACCCAACACTACAGTAATCACTTTATTAAACAAAGTCTTTTAAGTAACTTTTGTCTGTCTTCTTCTTCTTCTTCTTCTCCTCCTCCACCTCCTCCTGCTCCTCCTCCTCCTCCTCCTCCTCCTCCTCCTTCTCCTCTCTCCTCCCTACAGCCAGAGTCAATAGGTTGTCTCATCAGCCTAAAGGACTTATGGTTGGATGGAAACCAGTTGTCTGACATACCTGCAGTAAGCCCTCAATGCATTTTTTTGCCATTAATATCAGCTTAACGTTTGTTTTTACACTGCTGTGACTATAATCCAAAACACAGTAACTTTCCTGGGTTTTATTTCTTGTTTTTCAACCACACCTCTCTGTTGTAAACCTTAGGAGATAGGCAGCATGAAGAACTTGTTATGTCTGGATGTGTCAGAAAACAAACTGGGATACCTTCCTGACGAACTGGGAGGTTTACAGTCATTGACTGACCTACTGGTGTCTCAGAACTTCATTGATGCGCTACCTGATAGCATTGGTAAACACATTAATCTTTCCCACAAGCTTGTGTTAGTTTATCGTCACATCTTAATATGAAGAGGTCGGTAAAATCCCGTTCCTTCACAGCATCCCTGATTCTCATCTTCTCTCCTTCTCGACAGGAAAATTAAGTAAGCTTTCTATCCTGAAAGCAGACCAGAACAAACTGACTTATCTTCCAGAGAGCATTGGCAACTGTGAAAGCATAACTGAACTAGTGCTCACAGAAAACCTCTTACAGGTTTGTTATCGTTCACTGTCTTTAAGTGATTCTCAATCACTGGAATAGTGTGTTCTGTCAGTGTATTTGAAAGATGGCACAGTAAACGTTAACTTCTTTTCTGATTTCTCAGAGTATACCAAGGAGCATTGGGAAGCTAAAGCGTCTTTCGAACTTCAACTGTGACAGAAACAAGCTAACGAGTCTCCCTAAAGAGGTAGGTCAATCACATGACAACACTTAAACAACTAAAACTACAGAGATTTCTCTAAATTAATACAAGTATAATAAATATAAAAATGTTTTATAATTTTAGTGCCTGACTGCTTAAATGCAGAAATCTTACGTCACTTCAACATTCTCTTACAGCACACTGCTGTCTCCCTTTAGCCGACATCTCTCTTTAGCGCTCGCTCCACGCAGTCGACCGGCTCTCCATCTGAAACTCTGTTGTGTTTCAGTGTGTGACGTGTGTTTCTAATCTCTAGTCTGTTTAAGTGACAGCATGCCCTGTGGACCGCTTCATATAATAAGGCTTATTTAGACCCTGTACAATGGGCCTGTGTCCTAACGATGCAAAGGCTGCACTATCTCTTAACCACAATGGCTCATGTAATAAATTATACCCAGCTGAGTGACTGAACCATAGGCTTAGTTTAACTCATCCACTTAGTTAATGATTAGTTAGTCCTAACATGTTGTCATGCGGTGGTATTCCCTAAATTTGACTTAAATGTGTCACTGCAGTCTTTGAATGGTGGATGTAGGTTATTCTTAAGATTAATTTGGGTCTATGGCAGTGATCCTGCAAACAAAGGAAGCACTTAATCACGTAAAGGATGAGCTTAACCTTCTCCTTTAAACACATTCAGTCTCTGAATCACTGCCGGCCTCCTGCTGCTGCTGGAGATCAGTGTCTGATCTGACTAAAAGATTAAATCTGCACCTCAGCCTGCCTACTCCGTGTAATTCTTCCTCATTAAACTGTCCTCTTTCACAACTCACTGACATTTCACCAGTCAGTAATAGACATGACCACTGTGTTCTTTTCCCTCTGAGGTAGATATTCTTACTAGATCAAATGACTACAATCTGTTAATTGGTTTCATATGAAATGTTTGTAGCCATGTCATGTTTCCTCTTCTGTTCCGTAGATTGGTGGCTGCAGCGGTCTGAATGTCTTCTGTGTACGAGACAACAAACTGACAAGGATACCACCTGAGCTCTCACAGGCCACAGAGCTGCACGTGTTCGACGTCTCTGGAAATAGGTACCATCAGCAGGGAGTTCAAACCAACTCCACAGTACAAAACATGATATTTTAAAGGACTTTAGAGATTTTTGTTAAAAAACACAACCTTGCTTTAACACTAGTTTTTTTTTTTAATGGGGCATTAACACACCTATAATTGGACACTAGGCTTGCAACACATAATGGGTCATAGGGGATCAATCACATGAAGCCAAAATGTGTGAACGGCCTTAAAAAGTAGCTACTTAATTATTACTGCCACTGCTTCACAATTGGGGCAGACTCACCATAATAGTCTATCTGTAACCATCACTCTACTCTAAGGAGAGGAGGGGAGAGGAGGGAGAGAGGAGTGCTGGAATGACCTACTGTTGGCACTTTTTTTCCCAATTGAAGACCAATGGATTTAGCTTCAAACCTCTACCAGATGGTGCTTCAGATATTAACTGTTGATGGGAAACAGAAATTGGAAGTGTTTTTTTATTTTTACACTTAATCCGTTTAAAAGAACACATACATGTCTGTCATTACGTAAGTTTCTGCAGACGAAACATGCTACAACAGTTTTAGTTAGAATACCTATGAGGTTATTCCAAATAAAATTCTGCACCACAACTGATCTGCATCAAGCAAAAATATTTGTCAAGTTGCATCTTTATGAGACTTTTAAAACCACAAAAAATATCTTTCTCAAAGTACTTTATTATTATTAGTGAATGAACCAATCATAATTGATTATGACTTCACAGCTGGAGCTGACGTATTATATATTTATAATATAGTTTTGGACATGTGCAGAGGAGGGAATGTTAGAGATGGAGCTACCAGGTAGAAGACAAAGAGGAAGGCCAAAGAGGAGATATATGGATGCAGTGAGGGAGGACATGCAGATAGTTGGAGTCAGAGTAGAAGATACAGAGAACAGGGAGAGATGGAAATCAATGATTCGCTGTGGCAACCCCTGAAAAAAAACAAAGACAAAGCCGAAAGAAAAAGAAAAAGAAGAAGAAGCTGGAGCTGACGTAGCTGACCTCTCATGTGATTCTTAGCTGTCATTTTTCTCTCCTTGTCTGAAGTCAATAATGATTTATTCCCTTTTCTGTTTCCCTTCCAAGGCTCACTCACCTACCGATGTCACTGACCACACTACATCTGAAAGCTCTATGGCTGTCAGAAAACCAGTCGCAGCCTCTCCTCACCTTCCAGACTGACGTGGATCCTGAGACGGGCGACAAAGTGCTCACCTGTGTGCTGCTGCCACAACAGCAGTCAGAGCCAGACAACCAAAGTAATCTCTCTTTCATACTGATCTTTGTGAGGAAGCTGAAGTTTATTGTAATCTATATTGTGACTCTCAATGAGTGGGTGTCAGCCAAAAGTGGGGCATGGAGTAGTTTTTAGTCGGGTTTTGATTTTGTTTTCGTTTTGAGTTGTAATAATTCACAAGTCTAATGAATTTCTTAACGTTTAACGAACCCAATCATCTTCATCTGTAAAACTATTAAAATTGCTCTTTTCTGCTCATTTTAGTAAAACTTCCAGTGAATCAACAATCACCAAAATTCAGATCTTGGTTTATATTTAAGGCAGTGCACTGTTTTAGAACAATGTGTTTGTGTAAAGACTAAATGGCAGATCAATGTCATTTCTTTCTGAAAGTTCTCTCCAGAGTGTAACATCTCTGTGCTGTTACTGTGACATTATTTCATGCATCACCTCTCTTTGGCGAAGTGCCCTGCAGTTTTAGGTTTATAACTGGGACATGATCACATGATCTGCTTAGAGGAGCACACTGTGCTCCGTGCCCACTGATCCTTACTGACAGTATCTTTCAGCCACCAGCTTCTGATAAGGATCACAGAGCCTACACCAAGAACAGGCCTCTGAGACCCTTTGCTTCTTGCTTTTTTTGTTTTTGTTTTTTTTTTTCAGAAATGCAACTAAAAAGGCTTAGCATTGTTGAGCCCGCTGTGTTTAAACCCCCCCCCTCCCACACCCCCTCCCACTGTGTGTGGATACAAGCTCTTTTTATCTGTGTCTGTGTAGTATTATTTCTGTAGTGCTGTCAGCCACAGGCCTGCATATAAATCTATGGGTGTACTTAATGTCACACTGTTTAACATGTGAAAAGATGCTTTGATGTCTTCCATTTAATCACCAATGTCATGATGAGGTTTCTCTCCTTAGGGAAATAAAGATGTTGTAGGATTAGAGGCCAGACCTGTGGTCTGGGAAGAGAAAACAGTTTGATGTCATCCAATGACAAAAGCTGGGATTTCAAACAGTGCCTTTTAGCTCTGGTTTTGACAGATAAAAACTGTAAAATGATCAAATGCTGTATTCTTTCACCCTGATATCATTCTGTACCATTTTTTCTTTCTTGAAATTACACTAGATTCTGATAAACTCACTCGTTTTGGAGCCTTGGAGAGCCTAGTGAATGACATGGCAGACGACACGTGGAACGACAGAGCTGTGAATCGCATCAGTGCCATCCACTTCCTGGATGATGACGATGAGGAGGACGATGAAACGGTGAGAGTTTAAAGCTTCAGGGCACAGCGATGAGGAAAAAACTTCTTTTATATCTTATCAACTGTCAGAAGAAGAAAATCAGGAAGTTTTCTTTGAACAACAGATGTTTTGACAGCAGGAAACAAACCGCTTTATAAAAAAAAAGTCTGATGATTTTTAGTGAGTTCCATTTTCACAGTTTGTGTTGCACGCTGCTCCAATGTCACATCATCCTGACAAATTACAGTCTTATCTGTCTGTTCCATTTATCATTTCATAAAATTAATGTTGTGTAGTGTATAAAATTCTGAATAAAAAGGTTAAAACTCTGCCAATATTCTACAGAGAACTCTACTGCGGCGGGCTACTCCTCATCCAGGTGAACTGAAAACCATGAAGAAAGCAGCAGAGAACCTTCGCAATGACATGAACGCTGCCAAAGGCTTGGACTCCAACAAAAATGAGGTCAATAATGCTGCAGAAGAAGTGACCACGTCTGTGTGACCTTTACCTCAGAATATGCTTTATTTTTTACCTCCTGTGTTTCACCGAATCGTCCCGCACAGCCCCTGCAGACCCTGTCATTTTTTGTTGTTTTATTTGATTTTTTTTTACCCACAATTCCTAGTGTGGCCTTTCCCACCTGTGATTAATCCCTGGGACGTATGTCACCTTCCTCCATCTCCAGTCCTGTGTAGAAGGTGTTTGTCTTCAGGGCTGCTGTGCCTTCATCCTTTAAATTCGTCCATGGCAATAGTCTGCACACAGGTGCTCCTTTTATAAAGACGTTTTAAATTAAATCTCTCTTTAAAAAAAAAAGAAAATAACATTAGGTAGTTGCACTATTCAAAGTCTTTATAATGCGGTCAAACCTTTTTAAATGTTTCTATATATTTGTTTCTAAATCTATTTTTAAAACACTGGGTAAAAACACTACTTTTTCCATTTAGACACTAAACAGTTGACGGACCTACTGACTAAGGACTATTGTACAAAGCGTTGTGAATATTGATACTTTTATACTTTTCGGCAGCTCAGATGTAAATAAGAATGTAAAGTAATCAGATGCAGATTTTTAAACTTCCTCTTTGTTTCTGTCTTGGTACTTTTCTCTCTGTCCTGTTTTTTTCGGCTTTTAAAAAAATCATTGAACAAAACAGTCACTAATGTCTTATTCAAACCGTATGATAGTAATTACTGGGTGAGTGGATGGCCTTGAATTATCTTTTCTGTGTAAAATAACCAGGCTTTTTTTGGATAATGAATATATTAGGTTTATGGATAATTATAATGTTTAAATAGGTTTGGATTAAGGTTCTGCACATGAAATACTCATCTGAAGTGTCCTGATGCAGAATTAAATACTACCTTATTTATATATGCACTGTGCTTATGCGCTTGTTCATTTACAATGCTCATTTACTGATTAGATGCCAAAACCACTTTTTTAATTAGCGTAACAGTTTTCTTTATCAGAGAAAACCATTTAGAATTTTAAAATGTTTGGTGAGAACCAGGTTTTTAACTGCAGTTGACGTTCTTCTTCAGTGCACTTCTCAGTGTTTCTCAGATTCTTCTACGTGGTACCTGATAATGAGTAATGTAATATTTTGTTTATAAAGTGATTGGAAAAAGGTCAAACCAGAGGATTTGGTTCAAATGTTGGTTTACTGTTTTTTTTTATTTTATTATTTTGATTATTATTATTTTCCCAAACTGCACAAGACAGATCTTAGGTGAGCATTGGGCCTGGAGATCTGGATGACCTTTTAACCACTGATCAATAAAATGAGTGCAACACCAAACTAAATGCTTTTTGTCCCTTTAATTCTAATTTAGTTTGGTTAAATACATTTTTACCATTTACTGTAAAAATAGCATATGTTATTGATAGGATATTGTTTTTTTACACTTCATCAATGGGAAAGTAAATATAGTAGGTGATATAAAAAAATTCAATGTCCTTATTTCTCTATCTGTTGCTGTGTTCGGCAGTGCATGATGTTTCTCCAGTTGTCTTCCAGCATGTTCCATGTTTGATCATCTGCCCTGCATGTATTAATGTGATAAGTTGTGTGCATAGACTCAAGTCAAGTCTCATGGTTTTGTTTTATTTGTGCACACGTCACATCCTAAACTCATTCAAACGTCAAGTTTTTTCTTCGTCTAAATGTAAAGCCTTAAATGACATAAACAATGTCTAAAATGTAAAAACCAGGACAAGAAAAGTATTTTATATTTGTGGCTACTCGCAAAATCGCTTTTATAAAAGTGAAAATGCTAGTTTCTATTTTTCAGATTTTAGTGAAAGCCTCTTACAGGGGCACGCAAAATCCGGTAACGGAACCAATTGTTTTTGTTTGTTGCAGCGGTCGGTATATACAGACGCACACTGAAATGTAAATAAGTTGTAGGAACCCTAGAATGAGAACACGCTTTTGTTAAAAAATACTGTTTTGAAACACTTAATTTTTTAGGTTAAGTTTCTGTTATCGTTAAGAAAAAAGTGTTTGTTTCAAAAACTGGTAAAACTTCTTTTTATCCTGCTTTAATCAGTGAAGTGATGAATTCGAAAAATATTTGTGAAATGTCCTCAGAGCACAAGGTAAACAAAAATAATAAATGCTAAAACTAGCGTGTTATTGAAGTACGAAAATAAATGTCCAGCTTAACTGCTGGCGATCATCTAATTTCGTTAGATTAAAAGTAAAAGTTCAGTTGTGTTTTGATAAATTGTCATTTACGAGGAAGAATTTAGATGCTTCATCAGGGTTTATCATTTAATTTCCTTCGAGCTTTTAAATTAAATTCTCTGTCTAGCTCCAGGAGTGAAGACTTCTTCATTCTCGTTTCTCATACCATCTAGTTTCCCAGGTCCAGGATTTAAAAAACAATCGACTGTTGTCATCAAACCTTAACTGCCTGCGGGAGGCGGGGGGTGTTGGAGGGCACGGGAGGGGAGTTTAGTTGTTCCCGTCAGGGTCAGAGTCTGTGTGCGTGTGCGTGTGTATGTGAGGTATGTACTCCGGTCCACAGGAAATTAAGCTTTCAGGGATTTTTTTTTAAATTATTAATTAAGACAGTTTCTGTCCGTGGTCTTATACATAATCTCAGTAGTTAATATAGATATCATATATATTTAGAAAGAGGAAAAACTTTATTATTAACATAAATATATAGCACAGGACAAAGATACTTAGGTGATTTAAAGTTCGCTCACCTAAAGGTAGTAATTGTTGCGTTCAATACTACTACAGTATTTTTTTAATGAAACCAGAAGGCTGTCAAATGTTCAACCACATTTGGATAATAAAGTCAAAACATGATGCTTTAATAGAATATATACATATACTATACATCATACATTTTTTACTACAGCCATCATATCTGTGGCTCAAGAAACAGTGTTACGACATACTGTATGTATCTTTAGTTCTTTTACAGTGATGGATTCTCACTTAAACTGTGATGATGTTGCACAATACTTGGAATACTATTTCGATCATGCACGGTGGTAGAAACAATAATCTTCATTGGACACAATGTTCTTTTTGTTTCTCTGTTCCTTCTGACTCAAAGACCTCAGCAGTGCTGTGTGTTGAAAATGACCAGATTTCCCCATATAAACCCTCACCAATGTGTCATTTCTTCTTTTTCTTAAATGTATTTTACCGTGCAATTTAAGCTCCACTGATTTGTTGATTGGACGGGTTTTAAAAGCATCAAATCGTTTCTAATCACCAGGATGGTGCAGACCAGCTGTCAGGGAGAGGTTTCTCAGCTCGTCGCCACAAAAGAGGTGAAACCGAAATGAGTGGGAACTGTCAGTATCCTGGAGCTCTTCATGCTGGACCCTGTCTCCATGGAGACCCAGACCACAACAAAAAGCCATCCTTCCTCACAGAACATCTGACATCTCCTGCGACAGAAAAGCCCCTTCATCATGCACCATTTATCTCCCATCAGTTATTAAAAGTAATGGCACATTGTACTTTTCCTTTCACACATGTCTAATTATCTTTGCAGGGTTCTCCCTTCATACCCTCAAGAAAGCATTTGTGAATGTGCACAATTTCTGCTAATTAAATGTTTGCACCCAACTCTTGAGTGTTTTGCTCTCAGGCTTTAGCAGCTCTTAAGTTCTTGCCCATCCTTTGTGATGAAACAATTTCCTCTTAGTTACAGATCAGAGTGTCTGGACAGAAGGCTAGTCTTGGGATCAGTATTGCTGGTGGGAAAGGCTCTCTGCCGTACAAAGACCATGATGAGGTAGGTGCTGGTATGGGTGAAAAAAAAAACGTGTGCACAAAACACTGTATTTATGTGTTTTTTCATATTTTTTTCTTTCCTTTCAGGGCATTTTTATCTCCCGTGTTAGAAAAGGGGGGCCATCAGAAAAAGCAGGGATCCACGTTGGAGACAGATTACTGGAGGTGTGTTCCTCTCACATCATTTATTTTTATTCAACCATCGTTTGAAAAAACAGCCAAATATTGTTGGACAAAAAAGAAGCAGTTTCCTCCAGCTGTTGTTCCTCTTGTGACCAATGGAGGGCATTACACGACCAGCATGGGGCTATTGGGCTGACAAGAGTCTGACCAACAGAAAACCAAATCACAATCTGTTTCTGAATCACCAGAGCGAAATAAATCGTTTCGGTGTCTCTAATGAGAGGACGCAAACATCCTGTTCCTCCGTGTGCAGTCTCCGGCTCATTCACATGCATTTACTCGTCTTCTCCTTGTATACAAAGATATTTAGAAACCTGTTGGTTGCTTGTGTTTTTCAGCCATTGTTTCTAAAACAAAAGGTCAAATGACCAATTCTTAGTGTTTCTCTGGCATAATTGTGTTTGTTTTTTTAGAAATAGACTCCAATGAAGTTGGAGCACAGGCTAATTGAAACCAAAATGGTCCTATATAATTTGTAGCTTGACTTACTTAAATTTAGATACAAAAAATACCGTTCTGAACCATTCACTACTATATGCTACCATAACATACAAACAACCATTCACATTCACATTTATACCTATGATCTTTTAGTTATTGACCTACTGTAATCTTACACACCAAGAAACCATACAAACCCCAGTTACGACTGGAATCAAACCAGTGATCTTTTTTTGCTGAGGGACCAGAGCACCAACCGGCCCAGCCCTGGTCTAGCTGGAACATAATACAAACAAATGTGGCTTCAAATAGAAACTTTGTTTTTGTCTTCACTGATAATAGGACCAATTGCTCTCTCTTTTTTTCCAAACCATCTGTTGCATCACAAAGAGAAAAATCAAAGCAGCCACAGGTGGTTCATCAGCTACAGAGAGAAAACAGAAAAAAAATATCAATTTGACATTTGTTCCACTTTGTTAACCCAGTTGCTTCATAATAATTAGTGTTCTCAAATCTGCTCTTACTCTCTGTGTGTGTGTGTGATTTAACTTCACTTCTGTTGAATTACAAATCATTTTGTCAGTGAAAATCAGTTTGTCTTTTAGCATCCCAAACAAAAGAAGATGTGTCTAACCTACTGACTGAATTATTTTTCATTCTGTTATAATATCACCCCTGTTTGTCCAGGTCAATGGGCTCAGCATGCTGGGTGCGACCCACCATGAGGCAGTCAGCACGCTCAGGAATGCTGGGAGCTGTATCAAGATGAAAGTCCTCCGGGAGAGGATGATGCTGCCTACAGATGAACCCCAGGATCCCGGAGATATGATTGATGGTGTGGATTTACCACAGCTGTGCGGAGTCCAGAGGAGCAAACAGTCCAGGGTAGACGCTGCCCCTGACTGTTTGCCCAGGAAGATTGAGGCAGTTCTCTGCAATGGCAGCAGCACTGTAAGTTGTTTACTGCAATCTCAACACTATTTACTGGTTAAATTTCACCATTGTTCCAAAGGCACTCTGAGCCACTTGTTTGCAGAACAGAAATGCAAACTCACTCGAATCAGATAAATTCATCCGTCTTTGTTTTCGCTTCAGTCTGACCTGGAGGCAGCGGCAACAACAAAGGACTCACATTTGGTCAGAAAGCACATGATGACAGTAAGAAATCACAATCAAATATACCATAACAATAAGACGCAATCATGCAGCTCCATTCAGGGTGTCAAACACTGATCCACACAAGAGACAAACATCAACACAAACACATGGCATGACATGGTTTTTGATTTTGTTTGCCATCTTTTTTTATCTATTTTTTATGCACCTGCTCTTTGATGATTTGTATTCTTCTTTCAGTCCTGTTTGTCTGTTTGTGGCTCTCAGATCCCACGGATCATCCTCACTCATCCCTCTGTCTCTGATGAAGATGTAGAGCTCTTGACGCAGAGCAGTAGCAGCAGAGAGCTGCCACACAACTCTGACATTCCTGACAGACACGTAAACCCTGATTGTTTCGATTGTGCTTTCTACCCACCTTGACCACCACGTCTGGGAACACTGGTAAAGGATGCAGACTGCTATTATTACCTCCATCTTTGTGCTTTTACATACTGAAGAATTTCATTCATTCTGCAGAGAGACCAGTGTCATACAACTCTCTTTTCAGTGTTTCTAAAGGTTTTTGTTTGTCATATCCAAAGGCTGACGATGCTAGTGAAGGATGTGGACAACGTAGAGATCATGCAGCACAATTAATCTATTTTCACTGGAAATCTGCAGTTTTTTCGTTACTGTCACATTGCTTTTAATGGAAGTGGAGTTCATTATTGCTCTGTTGTGAACAGTCATCCCACCACCGAGTGGTTCCGGCTACCTGTGCCCCACAGCAATCTGCCTTACTGTAAGATGTTGATGTTGAGGTTTTGCCTCCGAAAGGTGTGAGGTCTGAAAACATTTTCACTGTCGGCTTCGAGATAAAATGCCACACGGTTTAACAGACAGAGCAGCAGGAGGTGGAATCCTTCAGAATCCTGCGAAAGACTGACCTCAGCTTCGCATCCTCCTATCTGCTGCACGGGCTGACTTCAAGGACATGGGATTATACACACACTGTGTGTGCATCAAAGTTTGTGGAAAATAATAAAAGCACCCCAAAATGTACAGAGCATAGATGTCAACACTTTGTGTGTAACTTTGAAGTACTTTAGACACTTCTAGCATCTGTGTGGTGTTCACCCTCTCAGTAGAGGAAACTCTGTTGGTTCAAGTGGTTTTCTCTTCAGTGGAAGACAAGCTGTATGATACGGATGTGATGGTAAAAGATAAACTCTGCACAAGGGGTGCATCACTAAATAAAAAAGAAGAATAACGAATCATTAATACTTTGATCTTCAATGGCTTTTCATTCATTTTCATAATATCTAGCTATTTTCACGACCTGACAAATGTAGCCTTAACTCTAACGGAGTCATGTGTCCAGTCCAGATTGTTACTGACCATATTTTTGGCGTTTTTCTCTCTTTTACTCCTTTCCAAGAATGCTCATGGCAGCAGAACTTCCATTTAAACTTTTACAATGAGGCTTCGTCAAACTCTGACACCAGAAACCTTTCTCAGTGTCTGCATTAGATCCTGGTTTTATTTCAGCAATTTTCTCCAGTCGCATTCAGAAACTTTTTGTCAGATGGAGATATTTTTGTCCTACAGCTTCAATGTCTATCTTGAACTTTCTTGAAGTTTTTTTGTTTTGTTGCTTTTTTAACACAATTCTGGATGAATATTAGTTCACCACTGGGGTATTCTAAGTTATATCTAGTAGCACTTCCCCCATTTAATCAGAATGGTTGTTTATTGTCAAATACATTAACATATACAGTGCATTTTACTTGTTTTTTTATTGCATAATAATAAAAATGACTAGGAATCATAATGCATAAATTATAAAATAATATACACATGGTTAAAACAAAATGGAAAATATACCACCCAGAGGGATGGCATCACATAAAGGAATTATTACATGTGTTATGAATACATTTATTTAGAACATTTTTCTCACTTATGCCACAGGCTGTTAGTTCTCCTAATGGCTGTGTGGTTGGGATAAATATTATGCTTAGAAATGTAATTATTCCACTAAAGTCTGCCACAGGAAGTTAAATGTGATAAACACAAAGAAGAGGAAATCTCTAGCCCTTCACCCACGAAAAAAAAGTTTGTCTATTTTAAGTGTATTCAGATCTGTCAATGTCAAATGTATATAAAAATACTGCACCACAGGACAGAAGTTGTGATTTGGTTTTGTGATCTCTTTGTTGCGATGAAACTTACGGGGGGCAGAAACTTTTGATGGATGGTTGACATTCTAAATATTTGATAGGAATTATTTATTTATATGCCTTCAAAGCTGTGTAGGCCATGTATTTAGTGAAGCACGTCAAACGTCCCTTTGTTTTTGTCAGTGGATTTCTATTAGTGATAGACACAGTGGTCGGTGGAAGCTGAAGGTTGGAAACTGACAGGCTTTAGTTTCAGGATGGAATCTTCTCTGATGTTTAACTTAGGTTTCCTCAGCAGGTCGTCTCCTTTCTCTGGTCACTAACTGACCTCTAAGAAAACTACCTGACGTGTGCTGTGCTTCCTACTGACTGACAAAGTCACGGAGAAATATCGCTGCTGATTGCTGCATCTGCTTGGACTGTGGATTTTAATGGGAAGGAAACAAAATTACACAAAAACGTGGAAACAAGATTTGTTGGAAAATTCCTAGAAAGTTTTATTAGCTGCAGTGAACATAAGAAATAATATTTGATAACTTCTGTTAGATTTTCATAAGCCAAGGGTGTAGCATGTAGAAAATGGTTCAAGAAAATTACTTAGAAATAAATGTTAAATAAATAAATAAATAAATAAATAATGTTACATACTATTAATAATATACTACATAATGGCTTCTGCAATAAATAAATAAATACATATATATGAAACTTTTTGCATTAATGTATAAAAGTTATACCTGTGGGTTCACTATATGTACTTCAATTTCCTTCCACAGTCCAATAATATAAGATTAGGTGAACTGTGCATCGACGATATAGCACTTTTTCTTTGAAGGGTTGCGGTGGTTGGGGGTGGGGGTATTTTTGTATTTGTATGCGCATACCGAACGCGTCCGTGTAGGTGAACCGGATGAGACAACAAGAGAAAAACGTTAGGAACGTCATGCAAATTGGCTGTGCGAAAATAAGGAGATGATTGGTAGATACTGTAAACTCCAGCAGATGATTGGTTGGCTGCTAATCACACAGCTGTTACACAAAGACCCAAGATGGCCGCTTGTCGAAGTGGTCTGTGCTATTGCCACCGAATGTTTGCCCTTTCTGCGCTGTTTAAGTAGTTCGTTTCACCGGTGAAAAAGTTAAATACGTTTTTCACGCTTTTTGCCTAAGAGAGGTAAGTAATCTTGCAGTCTTGCAGATCAAATGTGACAAATAATCACGTAGACAAATGATTTAAGCATTATGTAGTGCGGGTGTTTGTTAATAAAACGGAACAAACACACTCACTCTTATTTAAAGCAATTACATCGATATATATACGTATTATGAAGTAAACTCTTGGCTACCTGAGAGTTTTAGATTTTGGAAATCGGAAATACTTTAATTCTCAGGGGAAAGTTATTGGTATTTTAGCTGCCTCTGCAAGAGCACTACCAGAAGAGCAAGAGGTGTGAGAAATATTTATAAAATATGTAATAAATAAAATAGAACGCTTAAGATGTTGATAAATGTCAGGGTGTTCACAGTCAAGTATAACGTGAACATTCTAGCAGATTTTAAACATGCTTGTTAAAAACACCATGAAATCCAGCTATTGCCCTGCAATGACTGGGCAGGAATGGTGTCCTGCAGTGCACCCTGGGGAAATAGGCCTGGCTGAAGACACTTATGTGTCTGAGCAACAATTTGTGTTGTGTCTCAGTCTGAACAAAAACCCATCTGATACTTTTGTTGTGCTTCATCTGCGCTGATCACTGATCTACATTCTGTAAATGTCTTTGGCATGAACTGAATGTTTATTCTTCAATCAAACTTGTAGAAAAAGAAAATCCAATCCTATATTGACAATTTGAGTTTTTTCATTTTTCTTTTCTTTCTTTTTTCTTTTGCAAATAACTGCTGTTGTTTCACTGCTTGTGTTTATGAACCATCTGATAATGACTGCTTGAATCCTTGAGAATAATATTTAATCCTGGTGCTGGTGGAACATGCCTTGCCTCTGCAGGTGTCTTTTATTGATTTATTTCACAATGGCCTTTAATTTGGATGTTGTTGCTGCACAACCTGCTGATGCACTGTATAATAATATCGATATAATAATAATTACAATATAAAGACAACATTTTATGCCATGGCTCACAATATTAATGAAAGCTAAAGGAACCCCCCATATACCAGTGCTGCGGAAAACAAAAAACAATAAAAAACAACAAATAAAAAAAAAACACAAAACTGCAGCTATGTGTGCATATATTGTGATTATCACTGGCTGCTTCAACCAGATAGGGGTGGGGTCAGGGGGCACTGGAAATAGACAAGAACAGCTGTGACCTGAGAGAAGAAAGTAGTGAAGTTAATGGATTAGCATCCAGCCGAGAGTTCTGCTTCCACTCACTGATAAGAGACCACGATGGTTGATGTGATGAATCGGTTTTCAACTGCAGACATCAGAGGACTTTTATTTTTAATCCGACAAATTTAATAAAGAATTAGGGTAAAGGTTTTCAGACTCACGTCTCCTTTGTAGCAGTTGTAATCAGCATGAAGCAGAGATCAATTTTTAATACTGTGTAAGCTGGTCCTTAGTTTCTCACTCAGAGATGTTCAGAGATCATGTCAATTTTTTAGAGAGATGACTCAATGTCCTTAAGGCTGAACCAATAACAGTGCAGATAAAATGTTAACATTTGAATATTAATGAACATTTATTCTGATTTGTCACATGTGACAAATGTCAGACCCCCGGTGGGAAACACCAGACTCCAAATCCAAAAGCTGTTTACAATAATGAATCGGTCTCATGATCCCAGAAAATTGGCAATTTAATTGCGTTTGGTTTCTCTGTATAGTGATGTATATATTCTGTGTATGTGTGTGTGGAAGTATACTATCTCTATTTCTATTTAGACTGTATTTGAAAAGTGCATCTGTCTAGACTTTTTTTTTTCCAAATAAATGATGTAAGAGAACAGTTGAGAATATTATGTGATATTTTCGCACTTGTTGTTTCCAGACATGTTAGCCTGGACATTGTTACTGGTGCCCTGCAGGCTGACTGCTGTCCCCCAGGCTATTTCTGGATATAATGTGGCTATAAAAGGAAATCTGCAAGAGTGATACAACGCACACCCACTTTGAACTCCAATGGTCCGGCTGATGAAGGCACATCTTTTTTTTTTTTTTTAACTCTGAGGAAAGTTTCCTGAAGCCTGGGATGTTTGCATCTGGATGGAGGAGCTGCTAACACAGAAATGAATAGTTTCAATCAAACTCCAGACATGGTAAGATTATCTATAAACTTAGATTTAAAAGAAAATTAAGTAAACAGATAGGAATGTACTGTTACTGGATGTCTTTTTATTTTATTATTTACATTCACCCAATTTGAATGAAAACAAAATCAGACTGTGCTTGAAAGATAACCTTGTCTAAGAATTTGGTACAAATTCATCAGCATAAAAAACCCTGCCCCCTTGCGGTGCCCCCATCACCTTCAGGCTTTAACACATAAACATTTAGTGTGTCTAAGTTCGTGCTGCAACTTGATCCTGTTAATCTCTGTAATGCTACGATGAATAATTGTCACCAAAACTGTGTTTGTGAGAGTTTGGCTGTAAGAAACATTTTAGATAATATAAAAAGATGGTGGATTGGTGGTTAAGGAAGTGGACTTGGGTCCGGAAGGTTTCAGGTTCAAGTCCACCAGCTGCCAGGTTGACACTGAGGTGCTCTGAGCATGGCACTGTCCCTTCACACTGCTCCCCGGGCGTTTAAAGCTGCCCACTGTTCACTTTTTTGATGGGTTAAAAGCAGAGGTCACATTTTGGTGTGTGCAGTGGTGTGCTGTGTCACAATGACAAATAATTCACTTTTATTTCTTATTCTATTAATTAGATTTGTAATTCTGTTCTAACAAAAAAAAGTTAAATGACTGGTGTTGTTCACTGTATCATTTTGACACCGTCTTAGAGCTGACACATTAATTATGCTTTAAATGCATTCATTGTTCTCACCAACCTCTGGGGTCAATAAAGTATTTTTTTCATTCCTGTGCCTATTATTTGACACATTTGGACCAAATAGAAAAGATAAAAGTACAAAGCAGTTGGAATACACGCAATCATATCCATTAATTAAAAAGGCCTAAAGGATTATTACTGACAAAATATTTAATGACAGTTTTTCCTTTAGGGAAATTATTCCATTTAATAACCTTTAAGAATGCCACCATCACTGTGCTAAGCCCCCTCAAATGTGCTGCTATTGGCTGCTGATGTAAGTTTGAGTGCCTTTAACTGTTTCCTAGCAGCAATTAATAGATTGTGTACTCGTATAAATGTTAGTCTGTAATATGAACCCAGATTACCCTGTGTGCTCAGTAGCAGCTGGCAGTGGGTTCTGTTTTCCTGCCTTATCCACTCTGCAGGGAGGGGCTGTGTGTTTGTCTGTAATTAAACTCTTAGTGACACACCCCAGTGTTTATGATTTTTTTTTTTTTTGTCGCCCTCTTGAATTCTGGAGATCAATGAGGAATACAGCTTCACACAGCATTAGTGTGCTCACTTCCTGTGGAGGGAAAGTGACATGGCACATAATTTAGGATTAGCATTAGTGAACAAACTCTGCATGACAAAAAGTAGCAGACAAAAAAGGAGTTGAAAATGTTAAAAATGTCACCCCTTGTCAACCCTGTTGGTCGTTGTTTATGAGTGATGAGTTGTTTTTTTTTTTTTTTTTTTTACAAGCCCACCAGGAAGGGTCTAATGATTTAGTGCTGCTTGCACTCGGTTTTGGACACATGCAATCCGACTAGGTGAGACCAAACACACCAGGAGGTGACGTGTAGTGTAGTGAGCCGGCTGTGTATGGAAATGTGATCTGCGAGGGCAGCGTGACCTCGGCAACACTCGACGCAATTAAACATTCAGGAGGGCTCCAGCGGGGGAGTCAGAATTGCTCTTCTTTGACCTCTCACGGTATAAACTTATTCTGCTATGACTACAGAGAACGTGCAAACAAGGTGGCTACATGAGAACCCCGGCAGGAAAGAATACACCGCCAGTGTATATTTAGCTCTGGCATTTATTGTGTTTCGTAACTGACGGACGGTTGTGGAAATAATTGGCAACATTGCTGCTTAAAGTAAAAGTGAAACGTTTTGCAGCTCAGCCAGAAGGTGTCGCTTTACATGTTTGGGTGTCGTGGGTGTTAGGACAGAATTCTTCATGGTCTGTCCAAGGTCTGTCTTTTTGGACATTAGCAAATCCTCCAGACTGTTGTGATTAGTTAAATTGGATTTCTGCCCAGACTTTGTAATTTCATGGACCTCAATTTTTCATTTCTGTTTTATTCTCTTGTGCGATAGATTCCAATTAGGTTTTCTTTCGCTGTGTCACTGTTCAAGGTCAGCATCAGTTGATACCGTCCACAGAGGTCAGACTGTGTTATCTGGAGTCTACCAGGAGGCAGTGAAGTGCCTTGAGTCAATGTAAATTCTATATATGCGCCAAGAAAATTGTCCCGCATGGTAAACTGGGATTAGTTGAACTCTGACATTTTTTTAAGTGTCGTTCAAATCCTTATGTAGAGTATGAAGTACACACCGAGTTTAAGGGAGTGTTTGGTCCTTTAATGTGCTGTGATTGGAGGATTTCAGGTTCAAATCCCATAACTCTCCTACTCTGTAAACACTACATGTTTACCCACCGCTCATGTTTCACTGATGGGTTAAATACAAACATATGCAAATATTCTATGGAAATTCACAAATAAAGCTGACGCTTCATGTAGGCGTGTGTCTACATTTTTCGGCTGCTTAATTTGACATTTTCTGTTTTGCAAGCGTCATCAAATTCATGAGGATGGTGTATTGGTGTCTTAATGTTTGCTGGAGCTTTCTACTCTGACCAGAGGCTAATGAGCTGCGTGGTGATGCTTTTTTTTTTCTCCCTTGATGCTCCACTTCAGTTTTGCTTTTAAAGTATGAACTGAAGTTGACTTTCTGACTGACAAATAGTTTTGTGTACACAGTTATATCGCCACCTATCGATTTTAACAGCACTCAAGGCAGATAATAATAATAATAATAATAATAATAATAGTAATTATTATTATTATTGCTCCTACTTCTTTATGAACACACTTTAAGAGCTGAAAAGTGTGAACTTGGTTTTCACTTTTGACTTTGACTTGCCCTGGTATGTGGCGATACCGCCATCGTCATTTTTTTCCCCACCCCTTGTTTAGACCAGTACCAGCTTTACACAGTGGAATCAAAGATGTATGAGGCCGTGAAGCATTCACCTGTTAAAGCCTCGGTGTCAGGGCTGATGTCAACTGCCGTTGGAGGAGCCAGCAATTTGGGAGAGTGTTCTGTATTATGAAACTTTTTGTACCAGAGGACTGAAATGGGACTCGCTCGATGTCCTACCTGTTTATGCCTGTCGTGTTGCCGCCTTTCTTTCCCTTGCTGTGCTTCTGTAATTGCCTGGAGCCCAGAGTACGTGCTACTTTAACCCTCTCTGATTAGTGAGGAACACTTTGCTGCCCAGACGCTCCAGTCTATATATTGCAGATGACCTGAAAACACGGTGAAGAAAAGTGTGATTAGTGAGAGCTGATCAGAGTGGTGGAAATGCTGTTGGGTCAAAATTGCATGGCCAAGCCAGTGCAATTATGAGTTGTAATTTTTGCAAACCAGATGATTTGACACTGTGATTATGTTACTTGTGTAAGATTAAGAGAACGGTTGTAGACAGAAAAGACGTGGCCTGATGACGTGGCCTGATGGATGATATGGAGGTGGGCATCAATCACGGACTTGCATCAATACTGTTTCAATAAAAGAATAATACGTTTAATAATGCTTCTAATGAAAATGTCACTCTTGCATCATGATGGAAGTTGGAACTTTAAACACTAATTCTCTTCAGGCCTGAACAGAATATGGAGCTGGTGTGCTGTGCCGTCTACAGCCAGTGATTAGCTCTTCCCCTTGTAAACAACAACAGCGACTGACACTAGGCTGGTACACATGTGCACCGACCACGGCAATGAAACCAAGAATCACAACACAAATCCATCAATCTTGAGTTCTACCAGACAACTTCAGGTGATACAGAACCCAAACTCATTCTCTGTGTTTGTCCGTCAGCTGGGCCTCCAGCCTCGTCTGGGTGACAGCTGTCACTTATCTCAGTGACAGCTGACGGTGAGCAGCAGCACAACTGCACCAGGAGTGACATTTCTGAGTGGCCACGAGAGTGACACTTGCAGAGGACGTTCACCTTTATTATGCAGTCGAACTAGTGCGAGAGCCATGTGATGGGACACCACACCCCTCAGTCACCCCCGTCTCCCGGGGTGTGTGGATGTTTTGAGTCACCTCTGATTTTCATGTTAAAGTTAGTCCAACTTTAACATTCCCAACATGTGTGTAATTTGTTGAGAAATATTTCCTTTGAACGTGTTAGAGTAAACAGTTCTACAGTTTTAAAGAACATTGTAAAAGTGCTTTTTGAACCATAGACGGTTTGGATTGAACACTTGTCAAATTTTAGTCAGAGTCAACCTGAACTTCCAAAATACTCAAAGTATTTTACATTATTTGCAAGTACCGGTATTTTTTTTAATTAGATAAAAAATATGGTAGAAATAGCAACAGGGAATGTTAGATTAAAAAAAGCTGGAGGCTGATGAATATTAAACAGTCTAGCTCAACACATTTTATCCATATTTTAATATGATGTATTCCTAATGAGATTCTGCATCTCAAAAAAAAGTGTTTATTTTCAATAATTATACATTTCTACAGCTTCTTCTCTATTCTACATTATCACTATTTTCAACAGCTTCTTCTCTATTCTACATTATCACTGAGGGACATCAGTGTCTGGAGGAAAAGTCCTTCTCTTACAGGCTCTAGCACTTTCATAACAGGATAGAAACATATCCTGAAAGTCAGTGAGCTCCAGCTGTGTTTTTAAAACAGCAGTTTATTGTGAATCCCCAGAGACTGCTGCAAAGTAATCACATTACTGAGCACATTTGTTCGACCTCTGTGTTGTTCTGACCCCAAAAATAAAATTAAGGTTTCTTAAATTAAAGTTTTTTTTTCAACCTGTGTATTTCAAGCAGGAGAGGACAGGGTTGAATTGAATATCAAGTTGTCCTAAACACTTATAGCACCCAATGCCACAGACTCGTGTTTTTCTTTATCTTACAGATTTCTGCAGCAGTGCCTTCTGGGTTTCATGGTTTTACGTTCGTGCCGGTGCTGCAGAAACTCCCTTTGAAAACCCTAATCAGTGAGGAGTGGACACCTGGAGTCATCACGAGGAGAGACGATGAGGTAGAGGAGCAAATATTATATACAGACCCACAAAACAAACTTTTTTTAAAACAAATCATTTAAAAAGTATCACTACTGGTCAAACAATTACGTTGTGTCGAGCGTTTCAGGGACTGCATCTACGACAGGCCACTTTTTTTCAGAAAAGTAAAATGTTACATGAGTTGCTGTTTTTCTCATTTCATATTTCTTATTTTAAAACTACATGTATGTAGATGTGTGAATGTAAATGACAGACAGAAGTACATCTGTAATTACATCGTCGTCACTAATCAGTGCTGTCAGTCATCCTAAGTGCCCCCCCTCTGGGAAAATGCCTGACATCTTAGAAGCTCTTAGAACCTGAGGTCGGTGCGGTTCCATTCGATGTGGGGTTTGAATCCGATACTTATCCATTTCCCCCTTTAACATCAGAGCAGCAGAGCTGTGGTCGTCTTCTGACTGCTGCTTCTGCCTCAGGTCACTTTTCTTGAATGGGACTTCAAAGCTTGACTCACTGGGTTGGGGGAGTTGGAGGGTGGGGGGATCATCGCCGGTGGCTGAACTTCCCCCTCACTGCTGGCTACTTAAGTGTACTTTTCTAAAGGTGACAGGTATATTATATTAAGACATATATGTATCCATAAACAGTATACATACTTATATGTGCCACACTTAAAGCCCATATTTAATATTTAAAAAATAAATAACATTTATATAAATGTATACCTTCACTCACTTGTCCAAATACCAATTGTTTGAAGAACAAATTGGCTGAACACCACACTGTGCTAAATACATTTTCTATTTCCATAGTTGTGTCAAATTGCTCATGTTACAATATAAAATAAATATATATATATATATGTGACACTGGCCATGAAAGCACATATGTTCTATCATTACTCTTCCATTTCCTGATATGATTATCCATTTAAATGTACAGACTAAAACATCACTCCCACCGTCCTTTCCATCACTGTCAGTGTCACTGCAGGGATTCAGAAATAAAAGGCCTTTCAGGTTTATTTTTAAAATTATAATTATGTGGGCGTTGAGGGTAGTAATAATATCCATCTTAAGAACCGCACGCTGTAAATATCATATACTTTCTGAACTCTCTCTTCATGGCTGCTGTCAATGTTGCTGTTTGAAGCTAGCACGCTTGTGTTTCAATATCCCTAGAGGTTAAGGACATATATATATAAATATATATATATGAATATATATCTTTTTTACACATTTTAAATATAATTATTTATGCATAGGGATTCATTGCACAAATGATCTCCTGGGGCTGTAATTGAGAGCAGCCCTCTGTTGGTTAAAAAAGTAGCTGCGGCTGTGATATAAATACATGAAGTGAAACTAAAGCAGAGACTCTTCCTTCCAGAATCTTTTGGAGATAAGATCTTGCTTATTTACAACATCAGTCATGTGTGTACACAGCGAGCCTGGCTCCGTTGTTGGATTTTCCCATAAGGCCGCGTTACGCCAGTGTTACCGGAACATGTGTGTCTCCATGTGAATCATGTGTGTGGACTTGTCAGGGTGACAAAACCAAACACGCCCCCCCACCCCGCGTGCTTATGCTGTCTGACTTTCACCTCAGCCATTCTCAGGTTTCATTTGCTCAGTTCCTCCTAAACATTTGCTTCATTTTCTCCTGTCAGAGTGCGGTCACATCCCATGAGACGATAAGTGAAGAGACCATGTCAGAGATTTTCAAAGCGGAGATGGTCTTTATCAAAGACTCTTCGGCCACAGAAGGAAGAGGAGAGGGAGGAAACGTTCTCCCATCAGATAAACAGCTCAAAGTAAGTACAACACGTTTCTGTCTCACACACTGTATGGTTTTATCCTTTATAACCCATATATCTTTGTAATATTACATTTTATAAATACTCCATAGTATGTCAGATTGTCTACTGTGTAAAAATAATTAGCACAAACTATAAAGTTCTAGCAAGATATCGACAAAATCTTAGCAAAAAAAATGCCACAAAGTTTTCTTTTGTGTTCTAATTTTTTCATATTTGATTATGTTAAACTTGTTGTTTTCAAAAAATTCAAATGTTAAGTTGAATGAATTACAACATTTGAAAATTAAAGGAAAACTTCCAGTGGAGGCTTACAAACATTTAAACATTCGTTATGTGTAGTTTCTATTTTTTTATTTTATTTTATTTTTTTCAGATGAAGCCTTCAACAAATTATGCAAGCCTCAGTGGAGCCTCTTCCTCAGGCAGAACTGAAAATACATCCAACCACATAACTGCAGGGAGGGCATCTATGGAGACAGCTGTTGATCAACACAGGGGCATTTCCCAGTGGCAGTGTCAGGATACTCTTGGACGTGCTGAGGTTAGCTCGGGTTGCTTTGCAAATAGAGTGTCAGAAGACAGAATGAGCCCCACTTTCCCTGCAGACTTGTGTCCCACCACGGCCTCGTCCAGAGAGTCCCTCCTCTCAGACGTCTGGGACAAAGACAAGAGCTGGTGTGGTGCCCAGCTCTCCTCTGTCGCCTCTCCTGTCTCCATCAGCCGTACTGTCTCCCCCTGCTCCTCTGTCCGCTCAGGGGTCTTCACACCCTGTGTCACCCAGATCAAGAAGCATTTTCTCGCTCCCGGCTCTAGCCTGGTTCACATCCCTCAAACCTGCTTTTCATCCTGCGAGAGTCTGTCGTCTTCTGTCTGTCCACAGTCTCCACCGCCTCGGCACCGACCTCCTCTCACCCGACTCTCCCTTCTCACTGCCATCCTGAGAAAAGGCCGACTCCCTGTCTTGTCCTCTGCTCTGCAGAGGCCTTACACCCCCTGCTGGCCTGTTAACCCTGTGACCCTGTCTTTCTGTAAGGCCTGCTCGGCGGCCTCCAGCGTGGCTTCTATTCCCATGGAGTTTTCCTCCCACCTCTCCTCATCAGTGTCTATAGATAGTCAGCCTCATGTTCACAGGGACGCTAACAGATGTGTCATTTCTCCTTCATCTGTGCAGTCAAGTAAACACAGCATAACCTGCCCCCAGAGTCAAGTTAAAAGATGTTGTGAGCAAAGCTGCTTCAGCCCTGTGCCCCAATCAGAGCGAGGGATTTCACCTCCACCAACGAAGGGCAGTAAACTACCCAGAGCCCCTCTGTCACTGCTATGCTCAAATTTTAAATCTGCTTCTCCTGCAGAGCACCAAGAAATTGTTGACTGTGCAACTTCTAAACAACTGCACCACAAAGACTATTCTCTTTGTCCGTCCTCTGAGCTGAAGTCAGGCGTCGCTCCTGTGCCTTATGTAAAAAACAACCTTAAGAACTACGGGACTAGAAGTGACAGCTCTGTGCCACAGAAACAGAGGCAGCGGTTTCCTTCGTCTCTCTCTAAACTTCATCTGCTCTCACAGAAGCTGAGATGTGCACCAGTCTATCATCCTCACCTTCAGCCTCCAGTGTCACACTCCCCCAATATCACAACATTCACTGCACGCACAGATGCACCATCTCCTCCTCCTCCTCCTCCTCCTCCTCCTCCTCCTCCTCCTCCTCCTCCTCCTCCTCCTCCCCAGCTTCCACAAAGCAGCATGAGGAGGAGGAGGTGTGAGAGAAGCTGCACTGCTTCACAGGGACCTCACCAGTCCCCCTGCCTGTCGCCTTCCCGCTACACACCCATCACATTTCTCGGATGGCCCTCACCCTCCGGCTCTCCCACACCCACACCCTCACCTGCTCCACCAATTAGAGACCTCACTCCGTCCCCTTCTCTCTCTCTGCGCTCCACAACGCCCTCCCCCAGGCCTGGGAGTGGAATATCAGACTGCAGTGACAGGGAGGGTAAAAAAAGAAAGGTAGTCACTACTTCTGCCTCCTGCATGACTTGTTTAGAGTGAGGATATTATTTAATATGTTCTCTGTGACATTCTGTTCTGACACACTGTGGTTCAAAGCTCATATCATTCACTGGACAGATGTCGTCTTCTATTTTTATTTTGATAGAACAGATTTCCAAAAAACTCAGGCGGACTTCATCAGAATGCAAAAAAGAGTTAAATCTCTTGTTGGTATTTCAAATTAAACTGTTGACGGTAAATATACAGGGTTAAGGAGTTTATAGTGTTTTCAGTGGAAAAAAATGACTATGCTGTTTAAATGACAAATTACAAAAATGATTACCTCAAACTTTGCACCTGTGGTACAAACATAGAATCCAGGAAAGATGTTGTCTTTAAAAGCAGCAATTACTCAGAGCTGCATTACAGGACTGTGCTGAACTGTACATGAAAACCTCTGATTAAAATCAACACCACAGATGCTGTATCTGTGGTGTTAGTAACCATTGCATAGCAACACAAACATAAAAGTTTAAAATTACTATGTTTGTCCCTATACCATTTTAAAGATGCCTTTTTTCCAATGCACCTTACAAGATAATTAACAATCTGCAAAGACCACATAGAGGATTTTGTTTATGTTTGTGCCTGTGTGTGCGTGTTAACTGGCTTTTCTGCAGTCGACTGTAGGTCTGTTTAGGGCTCATAAGAAGGGAAATAAGACAAATGGAAGTTCAAATATAACATATTACATATATTATATATAGTATATAATATATTATATTATATATATAATATATGTATATATATATACAGTATATACATATTACATGTTACATATAACTTATAACATGTTTTAAAATGACAGTAAAGTTGAGGTGAAAAAGGGAAGTGACCTGTTTTAGCTTTACAAAGTTAGATTACCAGTCCTACTTTCTGTTGCGTTTTAAGAGTGTGTACCAACTTATCCAGCAGGGTGCAGTGTAAATAATTGATGTTGTTTAGATCTGCTGTCATCACTGACACATCAGAAACTCCATATGTTCAATCATCTGTTGGAGTTCCAGTTTGTAGGTCAGACATATGACTCAAAGCACGACAGGGAGCATGACAAACACAAGCCAAGTTTGTTGAGTTAGAAAACACAGCATGTGGGACACAGTCTAGGTTCCGGCCTGCCCACGGGCCAAAGCCATGTTGTATGTTAAGGCACCCGTGGCTGCAGTAACGAGCCTCGCCAGTTTGTAAAATGAGTTTATTGTTCAGTTGTGGCTTTACTTTGCTTCATGTAGCACACGGTGTCACAGCATAAAGCAAAATGTATTCATTTTCTGTGTCAACGCTTGTCTCTCCAACACTCTGCAGACACACAAGATTAAGTTAAGCTATAAATCCCTTGCTGCAATTCCAACAAACACCCTTCTTCTGGATCAGCAGGTGAGTTCATTAAATTGACTCTATTTTCTTTTAATTAATCTTGTTATCCCATTAAATTTGAGGCTATAATAAACTTGAGCAATGTACAAATCTGTGGCAGGAAAGTATTTGGTTTTTTTTAGGACCTAAATTCATTCCATGGCTTTGAGCTGTGTCTTATTCCACTTGAGTGTGGGGTTTTAACCTCATTTGTAGGAGATGTGGCTAAAAACTGACAAAACAAATGAACGTTTTGTTTACGCTCAATCACAGCTGCAGAGACTGCAGCGTCATCTGTGGAGAATGCAGAGGAAATGTTTTTCAGACGAGAATATATTCTCTACAAACCGCAGTGTTGTCTGACTGATCAATTGGTTCACCTTTAATGTTGTGTCCACAGGCCATTGATGAGCAGGTAGAGCGAACAGACAGTCCTGGTGACACGATGGACAGAGTGGATACTCATGCAGAGGTGTGCGTCATCAGTCGCCCTCACACACGAAAAACACACCGGCGTTGTGCTGTCAACGCCACACCACACACTTGTCACTTCAATAATGTGTGCTTTCCACAGATGTGCTCACCAGCTCAGCTCCGGCAAGAGTCAGAGGAACTTTACGCAACCATTGATGAAATTTTGGCAAATTCGTCTGCAGCGGTGAGTTTTCATAAATCACGAGTACTGATGTAAAATGGAAAAGTCTGAAGAGCTGCTGTGATGCAAGTCAATTGATAAATCAATGCAACACTTACTTTCTAACCCCCTGCAGCCCTCCAAGTCGTCCTCAACAAACATTGATCTGCAGGTAAAAGTTTTTTCTTTGCTTTTTTCTTTTTTTGTGTGAGTCAATTTGACACTTTTAACACCTTTCTCTCAGTTTTTGTGCTGCTTACCATAGCCAAGACTCACTGCTGCAGTTAATGGTTTTAAATCCTGGTGATGTTGAATAAATTGCATGCTTTTAGTGATCAAACTGGTCAGTGATAAAATTCTTTCTGATGAGTGATGAAATGCTCTGAAGCCTCTTTCAACAGACTTTAGCCCACAGTGAACTGCATGAACTGATCTCTTTATGCAGGCGCTCAGCCCGTCTTCTACCATCGGGCACTTATATCATTATCAATGCATCCAGTCGGTGAAAAGAAATTCAAATCAGACGATTTTAACAGCTTCTGCCTGGTTCAGAGTTTAACTCTAAGCTTCCTTGGGGTTATATGGCTTTGCTCACCCTCTAGGTCTTATTGATCTAATGCTTTTTTTTGCCTTGTACTGTAGTTCACATTATGACCTAAATGCAACAGACATCCGACTCCCATACCAATAAACTACTACGAGTACTACTGGGCTGTCACACGCAACATGCTGCGTTTACAGATGAAAATCCGAATGTGTGTGCCTCCATTTGAAGTTGTTGTGCAATCTTTGTCAATTAATGTCGTCTGGAAGCTGCAGCCACCCACGATCCACCCTCGTACTTCATCTGGCTGCAAAGTTCACTTTCGTCACGTTACACTGGGAGCCAGCCACATTTTCACAATATTAATCTGTCCACTGACTAAATCCATCATTGTCGTCTGCCATACTTTGTTTTGTTCATTATTGATTGTACACTTCATATATATACATCCTGTCAAGTTACTTCCAAGTCGATCGTTCAATAAGTACGGGTTGTCGTGATACCTACACCAGAGAATTGAGGAAAATGCTAACGGCTCATTTTACTCTCTCCTCATTAACAGACGGCAAAATAGAAACAAAATGTTTTGTTGTCATAAGTTTTTGTCCCCAATGATGAAATATTAACATGCCTTCTAAATGGAAGAGGGTATTTATTGTATTGAGTGTTGAATCATTTCAGGTGGAGGAGGTTAGAAGAAGTCGTTTTCAGTGGAATGACGCTCATTATGGAAACCCTTTGTTTTCTGCTCATTTGAATCTCACGGTGAACGTTAGCAGACTGTGTGTATGAACGTCTGCTCATACGAGCCTGTTAATGACAGCACTGCTAATATTGGAGATGACCACGGGTTCTGGGGCCGTTCTGTAGTGATTTCCATTCTGTGGGTTTTACCTGTTTGCTGATTCAGAACTATAGGCAGGTGCCAACATTTTTATGTGAAATGAAAAAAAAAAACAACAAAAAAACCCAGAGGAAACAGGGCTGTACCTTGGTTTAGTGGAACACAGACATGAAGTGGGATGAAAGTGAATTCTGACTCTGTAGTCAGCGGCAGAAGAAATGAGAAAGACAGCAGTTCATTATTCATCAAAGGAGAGCGAAGTTCGTGTATCTCATATACATCGTCTGTACGTGCGTGTGTGCGTGTGTGTGCGTGTGTGTGTGGAGCTATAATTGTGAGGACCATTATTTGGTAAAATGCTTCGTTGTGAGGACCTTTTGTCATTTTGCTTTTTAGGATTTAGTTGAGAGTTAGGGCTAAAGGCCACATGTCTCGACAACTCATGAAAAGCAGAATGTGTGTGTCTGTGTGTGCGTGTGCATCCTAATGGACATGCATTTTAATGCAAAGCTAATTTTGTTTTGCCTCTGTATCTAATCGAGCAGCCAGTGTGTTGTGTTCACCTGCTGTAGGACCTCATCTCTTTTCTGGCTGCGGAATGTTCCGACTGATGTTTAAATTAAAAAGCTAACGGAGGCTCATCTCCTGTTATGCTTTTCTTACTTCCAGCAAATCAACTCTCTTCAAAAAACCTTGGGACGTGAAACCAAATATGTGAGTCAAAGAAATAGGTTCAGATGTTGAATTTTGAAAAGAAAAAAAAAAACAGTTTCTCAGAATATTTGCCACGCTGAATTAAGATTACAGGAAAAAAATATGTGAAAAATATGACAGAGAAGAAATGACCTTTTTCTATATCTGTTATTCATACAGAAAAATAAGTGACACTATTAAAATGTAAATTTTCTCTTACAACTTGTTTATCCAGGCCTCTGTAGGCAGCCTGCACCAGCCAGGCAGTCTAGAAAGGAAGCTGCTGGATCCTCGAAAGGTTCAAACCCAATTATATTTTTAGCAAATTTAGTCTGCTGCACCACCGCTGTATTAAAAAAAAAAAAAAAAATCTTAAAAATGACTCTTTTTTTTTATGCATCTTTCCAGACGAAGCCTGGCGTAATTCGACCAATGACAGCAATTCCCAGACTGACTGTAGAAGGTGAAGAGGAATTTTATAAAAATCCCTTCAGACAGACCTTGGCTGACTTCAGCAAGGTAAGTCTTTACTTTTTTGGCTTAGAGTGAAAGATATTTTTTCATTTCTAATCCAACCATTAATTCTGTAAAGTAAAAGATGTATGTACAGAAGGAAATATTCATCTCCATTTACTGCTTTATGGGGGGCATATTTGGTTTCAATGTTCAATACAAAATAAATCCCTGCTATATTAGAAAAAGTAATTAAAAAAAAATATAAATAAATATAATTTATAAATACCATATTATACAACAATGCAAAATAGTATAATGAATGAGAACAAACAAATTTTTTTTTTTTTTTTTATATCCTCAAGAGTAAAATTAAATTGTTATGACATTTGGTTGCAGGCTTTATTTTGGTGGTTTGTGCCAGAAGTGGCCCACGGGGCAGAGGTTTGAGATCCCTGGTGTACGCTAATCCAAAAGTATTGTTGTTTCCTGTTCTTCAGTTTATGAGCTTATTTGAATTTTAACCAGGAGTCGATCTTCATGTGTTGTTCCTCGTATTTGTCCACCTTGATTGAAACAGTGCTATCTAATTTGACCACTAGATGCCGCTAAATCTTCCAATGTGTATTTTAACTATTTTTATTGACTGTGTAGGCTGTGATAACCTAAGATGTAAAGTTTAGCATTTTCCTTTTGGTGGCTGAATGTGTTGATTAACTACTACTCTCACTTCTATTAATACTACAGTAACTGCGTCTACTACTCCTGCTACTACCTCTGATAATAATGTAATGAGGTGTAGACACGTGTGTGACCTCTTTGCCTCTCAACATCCGTAATAGATACTACCGCTGGCTTCAGCCTGCAGTGAAACAGTAGTTTAATTAATAGGTTAAGGAGCTGCGTCACTTCACCTCCTGAACGTCATCACCGTGACGGCTGCTAATTATGCATTCGATCATTTTCAACCTCAGCTGGTGTAGTTTTTCACTCCGTGATGTGAGGTTTGTGGTTTGATTCATTAATGGAGGACAGCTGATGTCATTGGTTTATCTGTAAATTCTTAATTGGCTTCTACTGTAATAATAACTGACAACCATTGAGTTCTTTGTTAACACTTTTTTGAATAATTCCTTATCAGTTTAAAATGAACCAAGTCCTAATTATGACCCGAGCCCTTTCATATTACACACAGGTCTGCTTCCATAGAGAGTACCATGTTGTACTGCAATATTTGTAGGGTAATGACAAATTGAAGAAACATTTTCTATTGATTTTTGTGTACTTAGGCCACATATACTGCTTCTAATGATGTCATCCATTATACTCTGATATATATTTTACTGTTACAAAAATTAAAAAAAATATATGCATACTGTGTATATATGTATGTATATATTTACATGTGTTTATCTATGTGTGTGTTATATATTTTATATGAGCTCTTTAATGCCACCTAAAGGCCAAAAACGTATAGATGTTTAAACTGTTTATTGTTATTTTATAGATAAATATAAATTAGCAGTCTAAATTACAGATATAGTTCTAAACACCTACCTTAAGGAGAACGGAAGTTAACATACTGTACAATACAACTGTGGTTATATTTCAGCTTTATTACAATTCATTAATTATGCTGATTAATTCAGCCTTTTTTCAGCTGTTGTTAAAAGACTTTCCTGCAGACATAGGTTGTATTGTAAACTTTTTTTTTCTTTTTTCCTCTTAAATATTTCTTACCTCAGTCGGCCTCGTCAAACCCTCTGAGAGAATGATTCATGTCATGTCACCAACTGCTCAGCTTCATCCCTTCAGAATGGAGTGAAGCAGGCGGTTGCTCTCAGCACATCCCAGCAAACCCTGTTTGTACCAGGTGACAGAAGATTTCTTCTGTTTGTCTCAAATCCTGGTTGTAATGTGTCTGGCACCAAAGTGGTGCCTTTCATTTTATTTTTATTTTCAATGATAAAATGAAAACAACAATATCCCCTTTGAGTTGTTTATTCTGCTTCAGTGAGCTTCTGTGACAGCTCCACTTTTCTCTCCGACGACGTGGAACAGGTTTAAGGAGCCGTCAGAAGAATTAGACCTGTGTGTGCAAATTTAGCACAAACCATTGCCTTTAGCTATCTTAGGAGCCAAGGAGAATCAGAGAGAGTGGCACATTTGTTTCCTGTTGTGGGAGTCAGCGAGATGAAACAAACGAAAAGTGTTAATTGTCTTTGTGCAGCTTACATTACAAGGCCACACAAGCATGTGTCATCTTCCACATTAATGTTTTTTATGGATATTTACAAACAAGTTATACAACACGGGGGTTTATAGCTGTAGCTTATAGTGAAAAGTCTCTGACATCATCACTCTCTCATAGAGGAGTCTGTGGACTCATCCCCATGTGAAATACTGATGTTTTCATAACATTAGTCTGATTCAGTGTTAAGGTCAACATGGCCACTGACAGTGAAGTGAAAAATAGAGCCGTTCCTTTTACAGAATGGTTCTGTTGTGACAGGAAACACTTAACCTTTACCATCACAGGCTGTGTTCGCTTTCAACAATCATCTCCAACACAGAGGTTTTAAAAATGACTTTAAAAACACATTTGTCCATTGATGGTTCATAACAGTATCTTCTGTCTATCTAATCAATCTGCCTCAGAGTGTATTTGTACTGGTGTCTACTGTATAATGCAGTGTTTTCTTTACTTTTTTGTAGTGGAATTTAAAGGTGTGGAAATGTATTTTGCCTGCTCTCAGCTGTGATCTCTTCCTACTACACTCACGTCCAACTCCAATTCTCTCCAGTCGGTTTGATTTTCAACACCTTATCTGAAGCCAAACTTTATGTTGTATGGATTTTGTAAGTTAGAAAAACCTATCAAAAGCAGATTTTATATACCTTTTATATGTATTTATTGGATGGTGAATTTAATTAGATATTTTATAAATAAAATATTTTATCTCTGTTATGAGACACTCGACATGACCTGAAGACTAAACAAATGGCATTCCACACACACGCACACACTGATACGACCCTTTGATCATTCACCTTTTTTTTTCTCCATTCATAATGACGTAGGTTTTTCTGGACGTAGATCTGATCTATGGTCTGAGCGTCAATGAGGTAAACCCTGGAGTTGAACCCCTGACCTTTGAAACAAGAGAAGACACAATCAGCAGTGGTGTAAAGACATGTGTCTAAATATTTACTTTTCTCTCTCTCTTGTTGTACAAGAAACCAAAACCAAACGGGGCCTCAGGTGTCAGAGGTGTGTGATTTAATCATTTTAAAATTAAATCAATTTCATCCTCCTTTTTTTGGTGAAAATTTTAATAAGGGGATAATGACAAACCTGTCCATCATGAAAGCATCTGTTTAGGCATGATTGTGATAATTGAATGTTTGTGTTTAAGCGAACTCTCCTCAGTAATTATCATCAATGAAAACGTGGTTTGTTGAGAGGAAGACGATCGTCACAAATGGTTATTATTTTAAACAAAGCATCGTGTCTATGAAAAAAGAAGCAACAAAAATGATGAAATCATTTTGCCTTTATCTGCCTCTCTTTACTTCAAGCATTGGAGCCAAGACTCTGATTTTCTTTAGTTTTATTTTCTAAATCCTTACTAAGAGCAGCTTTGTGGTCCTGGTGCAACTGATTTATTTCAGAAACAGATTGATGAGTCAGCGTAAAACAAGAAAAGAAGAAATAAAAATTGCGTTAAGGCAATTTTTGTTGTACTACTTATTGAGCCGATGTTTTTATTTATTTATATTTAAGCCTTGGAGAAAAACAGGAGTGCTTTAAACCAACACAAATACTGTTTAAAGTACTGAACAAATACACAAACACTGTGTAGCAGCCCTACTTTGTTGTAGGTTTATGTTTACACCAGTTAACAACGAATAAGGAAACATGAGTGAGAAAATAATCCTTGCTGAATGAGAACTAATTCTGAGAAAATATTTTTTTTCTGTCTTCACAACAACTTCCAGGGACATTTTCAGTTACAAATACAGCAAATGTCAAATACCTGGAAAAGGGTTGTGAAAAATCAACACCGGTCAAACCCTAAACCTCAAGGGAAATGTCGGACAGCATCACCGCAGGCTAAAGTCGGTTCTAACTGAAAACCCGGAGCAGCTGCTGTCAGTCTTACTGCTGTAACACAGCTGAAATGAGAGTCTTTGTCTCTTCTGTTTCAGGCGGACAGAGTGAGTCCTGCAAAGATGAGAGTTTTCATGAGCCCGAAGAGCGCGAGGCAGGACACGGGTTCTGAGAGGAGAAGTCCATTCTCCCCGTGTGAGCTGCGGATTACAGAGTCGGGAAACCAGAACAGTCACTCGGTAAAGGCTGCACCAGCGTTGGCCGCTCGTGCTGAGGAACGAAGGGCGGCATCTGAGACTCATATCTAAAGCAGTGAAAAAATAACATTATAAATAATATGGAAAACAAGATCATCAAATGCATCATTTAAAGAGCACAACAAACAAACATCTGTAACCATCCAGATATCTTGGATAATATCAAAACGTTTGAAAATAATCTAAAAATGTTAAACGTACTATTGAAAGATTCTCAAACAATTAGTCCAACAGCAGTCCTGTGGTTATAGACAGAAAATAACTGACCACCAACAGTGTTCCCTGTGGTACTTTTCTTTTAGTCAACAACAATTCAGAGCCTGTTGTTAGTGATTTTAATAGATGTATTTTTTAAATTTCCCCTTTCTTGATGGCCCTCAGTGGATGTATTTCCCCTTTCTTGATGGCCCTCAGTGGACACAGGCAGTGAGTGTTTGCAGAATGTATTCAAACCATTTGCAGGTAGTACACGTGTATTCCCCACGGGCTCACGCCTCAATTAGGCTTCACAGTTTGGACGATTGACATCAAAAATCCCCAACTGTCCACTGTCTCCATACTGTTTTCCATAACAAAAGACCTGCTCTGCTGTAGAGCAGGGGACAGCAGCCGGCAAAACACCAAACGAGACATTTTTGTCCTTTTCGTGCCAAATGGAATTCACTGAGGACCGTGAAAATGTTTCAGAATTTAAACTAAATGTGCCACATTGTTGGTCGGCTGTTTAAAAGCAAGCTGAAATATTCTGAAAAATACTGCTGCCGATATGTACCATGACCAAAGTGTGAAGGAATCGAAAAGTGAACAGTATAAATTGATATTTTCTAAAGAGTTACTTGTTCTTTGGGTCGCTGACAGTAACGCTCACATCTGTCTGTCTTTGTTTCTTGTTCCTCTGGTCGGTCTTTGTCGCTGCATTGTCGCAGGTTTTTGTCAGAATGTGAAAAAAAACAAACATGAGTGTGAGTGATTAAAATGTAGGCGAAGCTTCATGTGGTGTTGAACGGTGAAGTGCTCATGACAGCTGAGAGCTCCGTGGTAGAGGAAGTCTGGGTTTTGGTAACGAATGAACCTGATGAAGGACACTGAAGTAGAGCAGCAGATATTCACTGTATCTGAAGGTTACTGTGAAGAATGTACAAATGAAAAAGCTTTGTTGTTGTATGGCAGAATACGCAAAATATTATTACAAGGCTTTCAAAAAACATACAGAAATAAAGACAGTACTGTGGTATTTTTTTCTGTAGTATTTTACTGTAAATAGTACAGTGGGGGCGGTTGTGGGGGCATGAATGGGTGGTACACAGCTGTAAAGTCAAGGAGGAGCTGATAGTGTTGTTTACACTTTAATTCAACACGTGATATGGATTTTCTTTTGGCTCAATTGTTGACAAACAATATTAACTTATTTGGTTTTTCCAAAGCTGATGGCAGTTCCCCCTAGGGGGCACCAAACTACTGCAGGGAGGAGGGGTCACCTTTGACTGCAGGAAAATGTTTAGTAACATTTGGGCTCATTTAGGAGTCGATCTTTAGGAGACGATGATTTGACACTGGTACGACTGTAAGTGACAATTTTTCATTTTTTTTAAGAATTCTTCATGTGTCACAGCATTGAGTTTTAGGCTGAACAAATTTTATGGGTGCCATAAAAGACATATCCTGGTCAATAAAATAGTTGTGTGGCTGAGTCTGAGCAGTCTGCCTGGTTAAATGTAAGAATGACAGCGGTGTTAATACGATGTGTTTGTTCCCCATCATCTCACAGAGAATATAGCAGTTCGTGCAGCAGTGGCCGAACGAGCTAATTTTCATTCCATGATGGTTGTGGCAGTGATTAGAAGTCCTTGATGAAAACCCTCCTCCAGCTCAACAACAGTCCTGTGTCATAATCAAATAATCAAGGAGGCAAAAAATAACTTGACCTCGAAGTTAATACGGTTGACTGACTTATCAACTCCAAGGTCAAGTTATGTGGTGTATTTACCAACATATTTACAAGGTGAAGTCTGAAGCCTCTGAGCGAGCGTGGACTTCTGGGATAAGAGGGTGTATTTTTGAAGACAAATGAAACGATAATCTCTGGCTGCACAGAAAGTTTCAGAACGAATGTTTCACAGAGAGTGACCAAAATGATTCTTTCACTGTTTTCTCTATAGATATACGGTAATTCTCTATTTCTGTAAATGTTACAGCCAGCACGCTGATATCATTTATTGATGTTTTTGCCCTTTTTCCTCCTCTGCCTTTTTCACCATTTTTAGCTTTTTCTCAATTTGAGCCTTTGCCTGGTCGGTGTGAAAAAAAAACAGCTTTCTTGTCCTAAAATGTATAAAGTACACAACCTTTTGAAAATGGATGATATGGATGAGGTGGATTCTAAGAGGCGGACGTTCGGCTCAGAAGTGTCGTCTGGATAGAGGCTGATGACACAAAGACTAAGCTTTTCATTCTTCTGTCATCAAAAACTGAAACAACAACAAGTTTCCCAAACTTTTTTGGGGGGGTCACCGACCTTCGTGACCCAAGTCACGCGCCGAGGGTCGCGCCCCAGTCTTTAGGAAACTGCTGTAGATTCACTTTCCCTTGATCTTTGGCATATTTAAACATTTTTAAAACCGAACATATCATTTGAGACTTTCTCCAATTCTGCTGTTTTTGTTTAGATAATAAGGATTTGATGTATTTTTTTCTTAACGTCTCATTTATTAGCGAGACTACAAGTGATAAAACATTTCTGTCGTCATCCTGTTTTGCAACTGGTTGAAATGTTTTCAGCGCTCCACAAGCCAATGAGCTGAAAACTTTATTGCCTCTAAAAAGATTTCCTAATCATGCAGATTCCCAGCTTTAAGATTGCCTTTTGTAGGGCTGTTATCAGCGTTGCTGGAGAACGTGGCTCGTTGCAGCGAGCAGCTGCAGCGGGTGATAATCTCTGGGTATAAACTTCAGACACTTTTGTGTTTACGTGACAAATGAATGACTTCTGAGCTCTGCTGCTTTTTCAGGGGCCGCTGCGTACGCGACCCAGGGCTGATCGAACATTAAGTGTGCTAAATCTAAGGAGACACGAGTCAAAGTCGACGGGCACTGCTGCCGCAATGAAATGTTTCTGGTCGTTTGTAAATTATGGCGTTTGTCCAGCGTTAGAAAAGACTGTGTTTGTGTTTCTGTTGGCAAAAATGTTTCAGCCCAGCAGCAGACAGAAGCTATCAAATCAAATCAAATGACCATCAGCATGAAATATGAAATGAAAAAACCTTTCAGCAGAGGCTGTGTGAACTGTAAGTAAAACAACACATTCCTCGTCTAATTGGTCAACACAATCAATCTATGAAAAAGTAGTCTGACAGAAAGTCTGGTCACTGGGTCCTAACAATTCCTGAAATACACCCACTGGGCCAAGTCGCTCAGATTCACATTATGAAGGTGAGCAGCACAATAAAATAGTTGGAAAGAAAACAGCTTTTGGAATCACACTGTGTTGGCGCTGTTTTTCTTCTGTCACTTTCTGTGTTACTGCATAAATTACATTCTGGGAAATCAGCACGGAAACAAATCAAGATGCTGCTAAAAAATAAAGAAATCAAATTGACGAAGAAAGACTCTCAAATGAGGAGATGAATGACTTCACCTGATGTGGCAGCCAATAGTGAATCAGTGTGGGTTGAACTGATTACATTTTTTTACATGCAGTGGTTTTGGCCATGACAGGCAGAATCAAAGGAGCAGAACAAAACAAAGCTGTCTTTAGTTCTCAAACCACAGTCTTCACAACTTCTTCTCTTTTAATCTTGTATATTTTGATGAGTCCTTGATCTGAGCAGAGGATTCAACTTGTTTGCTCAAGGAACAACAGTTTTTGTTCAGCACTTTGTTTGAATTTTCCCTCAAATATCCTTGTGTTTCACTCTCTATTTGCATTCATTTTGCCGAGCTGAGTATTTAACTCGGAGCAGTACAATAGGAACAGGAGTAAAGGCATGATTATAGTCGAGTTCCGGCAGCAACAGTGTTATTATCTCCACTCCACTGCAGTTCCCAGAGTTCCTATAATTAATGTAGCTTACAGACATGGGTGGTTAAAGGAGAGAAGATGAATTGTTTCCTGTTAACGGTTGTTTTTTTTCATCAGCTGTCGTGTGGTGGGATCTACAAAATATTTAGAGGCAGGACAGTGGCTCTCAAAGTATGGGGCGGGTCCCCTATAGGGCCAACCAAATTGATTTTCAATATTTTCTTTATTTGTCCCAGAGTAGAGAAAATTGCACTTGTTTTTACTTTTATTATTTACATATTTGTTCAAAGAGAGTAGCAGTTCTGGAGGAATTGAAGTGTTTCAGAGTTGATCGTGTGGACATGGGGGAGTCCACCGTTGCACTGTGGTCCAGTTGGTTGCTGTGTGTGATTAAGCGTCTACCCACAGTCCTCTCTGCCGTCTGATGTCAGCCACAGGTGGTTTGGCATCGACCTTTCATCACTTGTCTTTGAATAAGTGGTGTAACCGACCAAGTTCTATGAACACGTTACTTGAACCGACTTGTACTGCAGACCAGAATAAAAACACATCACTCCAGTGTCACTCCAGTCAATGGAATACAGATTCTAACCAGAGGGAAATGGAAACGTCTGAGACACTTTTATTGAAGTGGATCATTTTACTGTAGAAATTTGTGTCTGAGGGCCGAAGGTAGACACGAGTGCAGCACGAGAACATTACACAACAGGGCCGGCTCTGGGTGAGATTAACTCCCCCAAACCCACCGAGCCCTCCCAACACACACACACACACACAAACACACACATTGAATTGAATGACTGACGGTGCCCCTCCAGTGGATGGCGCTCTAGGCGAGCACCTCTATCGCCGATGCCAGGCATAGGCAAACTAAGGGCCAGGGGCCAGATACGGCCCGTAGAGCTTTTTAATACAGCCTGCCAAACTCCAAATTATATAATTTATTTTTATTATCATTATATTTCTGCCTTTTCCCTGTAATACCCACACTTTCCCAATAGATGGCATAGGAAATGATAAAAGCCTTTTAACATTTTAGCCTTTATGCATGACTTTTTCATGTCATTTACCTGAGTTCACACGAGGGCTCCATCTATTTGCTCCTGACCCGGCCCCCTGTTCAATTTTTAGGACAAGTTCACGTTACATGCCAGCAAAATGTAACTGAAGCTTTATATAAACTTTATATTCACACATCACCCACACTTTTTGCAAGATGTAAGGACATTTCAGACCCCCCCCCCATTAAGGTCATGTAAGGTCATGTCTTCTAAAACATTGCATCATAAGAACTTACTTAGACAATGTTAACTTAGTGTTAACTCTGTGAGACCCTGACTGATTCGCTCAAGACCTGAGAT